TTTCCTCAACTTTTTGGAAAATCTCTGCAGATGTCACTGTGCATGATAGTGGAGTAGTGTACAGTGCCGTTAGAATCTTATAAATGCCTGCTGCTGTATAGAGGGCAAATACTCATCCGAAAAGTGGAACTATACCCCAAACAAATCGGCTCCATACCAAAAAAGTTATAGTGTCTCATTTAAAAGGTATCTATGGTCAAAAACTAAAAATAAATATGTATGTCGATATTGAATTCACATAAGTTCTATCCCGCTCCTAATAACCATATCCATGTAGAACTTTGTAAACTTACTTACTGAAGATGCCATAGGATCAAGTAAGCTTTGATTGCATTATCAAAAACAATGCTAGTATGTATTACTCTTCGAGAACCTAAATCTAAAATGAAAAAACAAAAACAAGTATGGTCTTGAGTTGGCAAGTGTCACATAGCCTTTGCTCAGTATGTAAAATCATGCAACACAGAGACAATGATATTAAAAATATATGTTTATCTTGATGAAATTAACACTTTTTCCCAGCTTGGCTGTATGGTGACCCACGCCAAGTGATCTATCCAAGAAATTCCACCGGATTCTATTGTGGATTTGGAGAAAACAAGTAAGTGCTTATCCATATGTAGTTCAGACTTCTTAGTTCCTTTGTTATCCAGACAAGCACTTTTTATTTTCCATTGTGTTTTTAAAATTACAACTAATAACTTACATTATACTTACTCTGCATCCCTTGCCTATTTTTCCATATAACTCACTTTCTCCATTCCTTGTCTTTTCTATGACAGTTCACCCCCTCCCCCTCCACTTCTCCCATGTGACCAGGGCCGTCTTTACCGCGGGGCAAAAGGGGCATCTGCCCGGGGCCCTATAAATTACAGGGGCCCACAACAGATGTCCCTTTTGCCCCCAACAGCAGAGACAAAAAGAGGCGCGGCAGTGCCGGTTGGGAGCAGGGCCGTCTTTACCGCGGGGCAAAAGGGGCATCTGCCCGGGGCCCTATAAATTACAGGGGCCCACAACAGATGTCCCTTTTGCCCCCAGCAGCAGAGACAAAAAGAGCCGCGGCAGTGTCGGTTGGGAGATAGACAGGCCAAGTCTCAGCAATACATTATACTTTTTAAGTAGGGATGCACCAGTGGGCATTTTCACATGTACTCTTGTGAAAATACCCGATACTAAGCACAGATACCGGTGTTCTGTCGAGAACGCTGACCTAGCTGAATTTGCCAACGTCAGCATCTGCTCGTGCAGTATTATAAAGGAAACAGGGATTTATGTACAAAGTATTTCATTTAAAATCATTAATTGTGACCGTTAATAATATGCCATCCATCATGTACTGCCATGGATGGCATATTATTAACGGTCACAATTAACGATTACAAACTAATTATTTGTAAATAAATGGCGGTTTCCTTGTTGATGCGCACGACAGAACACTGGCACTAAATTTTTAAACTGAAGTGCCCGAGGTCCCATGCTTGGTAGGGACCTCGGCAGCCTTCCTGTTAACCACACGGTGCCTATGAATGTCGATTTAATTTTTCTGTTTATTGTGGGTGTGTATTAAAAAAATAACACATATAAATAAATAAATAAATGTTATGGAAGGAAATAAAATAAATTGGCTTAGTAATATTAGATCATATGATTTTATGTTTCTCGATGTGTACATAACTATAATTTTTTAAATAATATTTACTTTTATTTTAAACACCTTTTAGGGCCCATTCACACCAATTGTGGTGCGTTCCAGAGCGGTAGCTGCTGAAACGCACAGCAATTGCACACTAAATTTCCCCCTGTGTTCTGGGGTGGGAGGGTGCATTGAAATCAATGGCACTCCAGCCACGCCCCCACCCGCACCGCGATCGGATGCATGGCAAAACATTGCATGCATTCCGGTCTAGTGCAAACGTTTTGCCACGCGTCCGATTGCACTGCAGATGGAGGTGTGGCTGCAGTGCTATTGACTTCAATGCACCATATGCCCCCTCCCGCCCCAGAACAAAGGGGGTAATTTGGTGTTCAATTGCTTTGTGTTCCAGCAGCTACTGCTCTGGAACGGACCGCAAAACGTGAACTTAATATGCATAGTATTCCTGTGGAGCTCTGCTATACACTCACACACTGCACATTACTGTGAGTCTTGTTGCTGTGAAGCTTAGTGATATACTCATACACACTGCTCATTACTGTCAGGCTAGATTCACACCTGGGCGATCCGTGACCCTGCGGCAATCGTGCACAATGGCACCACCAGTGTGATTGGCAGTGGTGGGCAAATATGTGACCGTGTGGCCATCTGCTTGGTCACAGAATTGCCCACCACTGCTGATCGCACTGGCGGTGCCATTATTTTCTAATGGCACCCCAGTCACGCCAGGCGGATCGTGAGGTTTCCCACCACAATACTCGCCGTGCAATTGAATACAATCAGGGCTAAAAAAGCAGCGTGTCATGTGTACCTTTTTTTTAGTGATTGTCGTGTGGCTGTAACCCTATTGAAATCAATGGGGCCGCACGGCAATCGCTGTGTGCAATTGTGCACAATCGCGCAGCCCCGGGATCGGCCATATCTGAACCTAGCCTCAGTTTTTGTGATACACTCATACACACTGCACTTTACTGTGAGTTTTATTGCCTTTTAGGGCCCAAGAAAATGCTTGCCCAGGGTCCAATCAGTATTAAAGACGGGCCTGCATGTGACCAAGTCCCTCCATCCCTTAACTCTTCTGCCTTACCATGGTCCAGTCCCTCTACCCCTTTCCTCTTGTAAATGACCATGACTTTGAATATTTCTTCTTCCATATAAACCTCAAACTCCATTAATTTCCTGTTATACTTACCCAACTACATTTCTCCCTTCTTTGTCCATATGACCCTGACACTCCATCCCCTCCATTTTCTATGTTGCCTGGACTCTTCATCCCTTTCCTATTCTACATAACTATGTTCCATCACACCTTCTTCCATGTGACCCTGACACACCAATCCTTTATATTTTTACGTGACCATGACACTGCATCCTTCCCCTCTTTTCTGCATCCTTCCCCTATTTCATGTGTTCCCATTTCTTTTTAGCCTAGACCCACTATTTCTTTACTCTTGTATATGACCATGGATTCTTCATCCATCTCCTTTTTGTTTTTCTTTTCTTCCATATGACGTGCCTCCATCACTTTCTATGTTGCCTGGATCTGCCATCTCTTATTTCTTCTACATGGCCATGACTCTTCAGTTCTTACCTCTTCTTCAATATGAATCTGACACGGCATACCGTGCCTCCACTACATGAGCATGACTGTTCTTCCCTTTACTAGTATGATCCTGACAATGATTTTCTTTCCCTTTTCTGTAGGCCAGGCCCAAATTCTGCATTTTTTCCCCCCCTCACTGTCTTACCTTTATGGTGTAACCTCCTAATGACCTGTGCTTTCATATTGACCTATCTTTTCCTATGTGATATGAGTCACTGCGGCTATCTGTGTTACCAATCTAGTCATTTTATTTTGCAGAGACAAGCCCTTTGTGCTATATTTCGACTTATTGAAGTGTCTCGGTAGTGTGAACGTCTTGGCAGCAGCAATGAATAATCTGCAGTGTCCCACCACCCAGGTACCTACACTTAATGTTCATGTTCTAACCCTGGCTTCTGCCTCACATTTACCCAATGCCATCTTTTATACTATGTCTTTTTTTAACCTACTATTGGTTGCCATGTCTCTTACTCATATGGTGTACTTCTCTCTAGGTTTGTGTTGCGGAATGTCCTCAGAAGTTCAGGGCGTCTATACCAATTGGTGACCCAAAAACTGTCTATAACCAATCGTTCTGTCAACCGAGTATTAACCTAACTACTACTACACTGGTAAGTAGTGAGTGAAGTAAGTACACTGCTAATGTAAAGGCATATCTCACCATGTTGTACCTCCTGACAAGTATATCCAGTGGCACCCTTGCGTATAACAATTTTTGTATCCTAGCTAATGAGTGGATTAGCACCAGTATCAGTGCAATTATTTTGTTTTCTCTTTCATGCAGAGTGTGAGAGAAATTTCAACTAAGGAGCTATGTCCTGTCTTCCTGGTTCCCTCTAAACCTAGTGAGTACCTCCAGTGTTTTTCAGTGGTTTTCTTCCTCCTTGACCTTCTCAGTAGTTACGTGAAGTAGACTTCAGTTCCTGCACAATTTAGGTTTTGGCTATCGCGTACATTGAAGGAAACTCCCTCTCCTTGTTTTTGTTTCTCATGGTGGAATGGCGGCTTGAACCCAACATCTCTTGGGTGGCATCATCCGCTAACCAGCACAGACTAACAGCTCTGTTTCAGCTGGTCTGTGGGCTCTCACTGCCCAGTAATATGCAGAGCATCGGTGTGGGAGAAGTTATGGTTACTGATGAGTGCCACATTCACTGACAAGTAGTCAGCAGTGTAGGACAGGGATGCGGTGTGTTGTTGGCCTGTGACATGGACATTTGTAGCAAAGGGATTAAGAATAAAAAAATTATATAATTGAAGAGACCCTGCCACCAAATCACTCATTGTAACAGCAATCTTCCCATACGTTTTTAGGTGCATTTAACATATTCTGACTCCGATCGTTGTGATAGCGCTATATCCCTTGCTGAGACCTCTATGCCTGGCCTGTATAAGCAGATATACTCACTGCGGACAATCCTTGTCAGATAGCTGAACTCGTTAATACCGATTCATTCAAAAGAGGTGTTTATTCTTAACATCAGGATTACAGCAGATGATAGGAACAGCAGATGACTGGTTATAGTATTGTGCGGTCAGAAAATGATGCCTTGTCTATCATACTGCGCAGAGTATATGTGTCCTAGTTACATGTGGCCTGTAGCTGTGGCCATGACACGGGAAGTACTGCACACAGGAAGAAGGGAGGGGCATACTTACAAAGAGGAAATACATCGTAGACATCACAAAGAATCACAGAAAAACATGTACATTACAACAAAAGGCCACTAGATGGCAGCATATAATAAAACATGGATTAGCTATGAGAAAATGGTTAGGCAAAACACACTATGTAAAACTTCTATCTATAATAAGTTCTATAACATATTCTATGCCCCATTGGGGCAGCACATAACACATAATAGACCTCCCTTGTGTAAACATCCAAAAGCCCTGGTGATGGACACCGCCATCTTTGATGTGATGTTCGCAGCTCCAGAAAACTCAGAGCTGTCGGTCAAGTGGCACTCTGTAGTCTTTCTCCAACTGCTACATAAAAGGTTATAGAGTGAGGGGAGGGAAGGAGGAGCTGGGTCTGCACAGAGTGTAATCGGACACTCCCAGAAAAGGTGAGGGAGGGCTATGACATGGTAGGAGGTAGGGGGCTGTGCAAGGGAACTGACTAGTAAGATTTGCTTACAAGTTCAAAGGCACTTTCCAAGTCAATCAAAAAATTGTATTGAAAGGAAAACTAATGCACATAAGCATTTAAAATCCTCAAATTTTCTGTTCTTGTACCTGTAAATGTTTTAAATTGGTGACAGGGTCTCTTTTAAGGGTGAAAGTCCCAAACAGACTAGTAATGTTTTGAGTAGCACTGAGCACAGAGAGTAGCACTGAGCACAGAGACAAAGTGTAAAACTGGAAGAGGTATAACGGGCACAGAAGGTGCTCCTTAATGACGTGTTAAAGCTAGATTGACTGGAAAAGTGCACCCGGCCTGTAGGTGATGGGAAGAGGACAGATCCATTAAGAACTGGATTGGAAAGTTGTGTTTTCTACAGCAGAGCAGCCAGAAACTGGGTCTTTACCAGGAAATAAAAGGCAGGGCCGTAGCTAGCTCCTTTTGCCCCCGAGGCAAGAACAGAAAATTGTGACACCCCCCCCCCCCCAACAGACGTTTGCGGTATGTGACGTCATGCGCCCCGCCACCAGGATGGCGGCACGCATGCACAGAATGCACTGGTGGCCAAATCCAAAATAGCATAAAAATATTTGTTTTGTTGGACGAAACTAATTAAATATTTTTTAGTTTCCGTTCATTTCGTCCAAAACAAATTTTAAGTCTTTGCACAGCTCTAGTAATATGGGTGTACGATTGTGTGTGGGGGGGCCTTTTGTTATTTATTTATTTTTATAATTTTTTTTTATTGTTGAGGGCCTTTGGGGAAATATCGGGGTACAGACCCCTGACATTTCCCTTTTTGAAATAGAAAAAGAGATTGAGGACACAGAGTCCTCTGCCCATGCAGGCAGGGGAGAGCAGCGAAGGTCCAAGGAGAAGCTGGAGCCTGTGCCGCTCCTCTTCTCCCTGCCAAGACGCAGGCTATGTTGGCCTCCTGGCGCCCCTGTTGCCAATGGCATCCTGTGCTCGCCATGGCAACAGGGGCAAGGTGACACAGCCAGGCCAGCCCTGGCTGCGCCCCGTCTCAGCTGCGCCTGAGGCAAGTGCCTCACTCGCCCCATGGTAGCTACAGGCCTGATAAAAGGTTCCCTGTAAAGAATTTAGTCTTTCTTCCACCTACTGCTACTAATTGTCTGCAGCCTTGGTTCTCAACTGGTGGATCGTGACAACGTGTTCAGTGGGTCGCCACATGCCTTCCACTTTTCTAGGTGAGAGGCTCCTCTGCCTTCCCCTAGCGCAGCACTGTCAAATTTCGCACCAAGCAGCCATTCAAAATATGCTGCCCGGCGCGGAGTGTCAGCTTGAGGTGGGATGAGCTGAGGCTATGGGCACGAGGGAGCTCCATCCATACATGCAGTGTTTACAGCTCCCTCATGTGTCCTATAGAGGTGTCAGGACCAGAGGGATGTCACATACTGGCTCCCGGCACCTCTACAGGGTGTGCAAGGGAGCTGTACCAGCAATGCACATATGGATGGAGCTCCATCACAGCACAGCAGCCCACATTGGACCCCAGGCTAAGCATCCACTCCAGTTCTCGTAAGGTAGGGAGAATGGGTGGATCTTAAAAAAAATTTTAAAAAGAAAACATTTTTGGATTGTGTCTGTGTATGTATGTCGGTGTTTTTGAGGGCTGGTCCACACTAGTATAGTGCGTTAAACTGTACTACGCATTTGCACCTGCAATGCATTCATTTGAACGGTACCCCAAATGCGCCTCCCACCCACAGTTCATATGCCTGCATCGGAACCCATGGTACCCTAATGCCATGCATTCCATTGCAGTGTGACTTGGGTCGCAACTTATTGACCAAGGACAAATGTGGGTCCTGAGGTTACACAGGTTGAGAACCACTGGTCAGCAGGATATGGGTCTTGGATGTGGTTTGGAACTTGGGCCAGGGCTCTTTTCCTCTGGAAGTAGTCTATAAGCCTGAGATGTTGCGTTGTTGGGATCATTTGTGTATATTTTGCCCATAGTGTCTAAATCCTATATCTCAGTTGTAAGGTGATGTGGGCCCATACATTGTAAGCTCCAGATGCCAATCTTAACATAGATGATAAATGAGGTTTATCGTCAAATCATGAAAATGTTCCTTTGTAACAAAGGATTTTAAAAGTTAACACTGGTGATGAATATGAGTCTGCAAGCCAGCTAAAGAATTCCAATTGGCAGTTCTAGATTTCAGAAGTCGTATATCTGCTTCCTGGTTTTATCACCACTTTAATATATTTTAATGTGATTTTCTTTCTCAGTCTTTAACAGGTGCTTCCCCCATGTCGACATCAGCTATGAAAATTTTACTGTATACGGCATGAGCGCAAATGACACGAAGAACAATATTACAAATGCAGCCAAGTAAGAGCAAGATCTTCCCATATTCCGTCCTTTTCCACTTGTTTTACTCAGTGCCGTTTTTCTCTGCTATGGGAGAAATAAAGGTAGTTGTTGTGACCGAACCCATCATAATCAAACCTATGAATATCTTGTATTATTTATTTTCAGCCAGCAGGTGGCGCTTTGGGTTGTTTTTTGGTATGATTTACGGGCTATCTTTATCCGATTTTCTGAAAGAGACGATTGTTTACAGAGCTCAACAGCTCAAGTTGAAATTTACACACACACCACTAAGCAAACCCAAACAATGAGACCTGCCCGACTGTTCAGAGTGCCATTTGTTCACCATGTATTATCCCCTCCCTGCCCACAGTTCCTATATCAACATTCTTTAGGATGATGTCCTGAACTGGAGGCTACATTGATAAATGTTCCCTTTGAGAGCCACCAGCTGATACATTGTGCAGCTGCTTGTTTTTAAACACTAAAGCCCCTGCTAACAATCAGGAACCAATCAGAGTTGTTCCTGATCATGTGATTATTATGACAGCGTTGATATAGTGATCACATGCTGGCTTGAGTCTTCATTGATAAAATAAGCCTTTCAGTGTATCAAAACCAAAAACTACAATTTTACCCATTTGTGGCTGACCAGTCCTGGGATGTGGTGGCTGCATTAGTTTTCTTTTTTTCAGGCTTTATTTCCACGCTTCCTGCCATTCACTCCCTGGCTATGCTCATTCACTCCCCTGTATCTATGTAGGGAGTAGAGGTGCACCTAAATGAAAATTTCAAAACTGAAACGAAACTGAAATAAAAAAAAAAATGTCAGGCTGAAAACCGAAAATGTTTTTTTCTCTAAGTTTTTTTCAAATTGTAAAAAATATTTTAATTTTTATAAACTTTTTAATTGTTTTATTTTTTATTTATTTGTATTAAATGTTTTTATTTTTTAACTTTTACATTTCCCCGCTTATGGGGAAATATTGGGGGTCTAAACAGACCCCTGATATTTCCCTTTTAAAATAGAAAAAGGGATTGAGAACACAAAGCCCTCAATCTCTTTTTCTCTATCACCTGTTATAAATGAACTGGAATCCTCTATACTGAGTATGTTTATTATATCCACAATCATGAATGAACAGGAAGTGATGTAAAGCACTTCCCATTCATTCAAAATTGGGGACACAGTAAACATACTCTGTCCTCAATTATTTACAAGCACTCAGCGATCACTGGCGCTTGTACCCGCTCTCCATCCCTGATCGGCTGTCACAGGAGGCTGAGCAAACGGCTCGCCCTCCTGTGACAGCTGACACACTGATCTGTCACAGGAGGCTGAGCGGGGCGGTGCAGGAAGAGAGCTCAGCTGCTCTCTTAATCTGTCACAGAAGGCTGAGCCGTGTGGGAGGAGAGACGCCAGCCGCTCACATCGCTCTCCTACCCCGCGCCACTCGGCCTCCTGCGACAGTTTCTCTCCTCCCCGCTGGGACACAGCGGGGAGGAGAGAAAGAACGGATGCACCACTATTTCTTCCGAAAGATGGCACTTTTTAGCACAGACCTTGTGTTACAGTTTAGACACTGGAGGCTGTATTATTTTAGCATCTTAGTTTTATTGTTTTATTTTGAAAATGTAATGAAAGAAAAAACCCAACCGCATAATAAAAAAGGACCGACCCTCAGATCCCAGGGACAGGGAAGGTGCAGGAATACTGGGTAGGGAGGTTCTTCTTCCTGCTGATGGCAGGAAGTCAGGCATCTCCCTGTCCTGGTGATCTGGTAAAGGAATCTCTTGCATTATTTTCCAGCTGTCTTTTAGCCCTAGTTTGGCCCTTATTTCTGTCTCCAGCTTTACAAGCAGTGGCATAACAATCACCATAGCCACCCAGGCGGCCGCTATGGGGCCCGGGGCACAGGGGGGCCCGGCCAGGACATTCCTGATGCCCTGCGGGCCGCTATGTCATCTCACGCTGCTGGCTGTCGCTGGCGGGTGTGAAGAGGAACACACCGCTGTTCAGATCACTGACCGTGATCTGTGCAGCAGCGCGTTCCTCTCCACAGCCGCTGCTGAGTCAGTGAGAGCCAGCAGCGGCGGTGGAGCAGGTTGGACCCGGCAGTGGAGGAGAAGGCAGGCCCGGGGTTGGCATCAGAGTAGGAAGAGGGGCCCGGCGACGGGTAGGGGGCGGGCTCGGCAACGGAAGAGGGGGCTCATCTCCGACGGTGGAGGAAGAGGAGGTGGACAGGTAAGGAGTGTGACCAGCCCATCTGAGGGTGACCCTGCAGAGCCCACCTTAGAGAGTCTATGGCGGTCTCTGCAGGGTCACCCTCAGGTGGGCTGTGTGTGATCTCAGGTGGGCTCTGCAAGGGATGTAACTAGAGATCAGAATTTTGCTATGGGGCCCTGTGATTTCTAGTTACGCCCCTGTTTAGAAGATTTTATAATTTCATCCATCTCACACTTCTCTTTCTCATGTTTATATTTCAGGACAATTGCGGATTCCTTGAACTTTCAGAATCTGAGCAAAAAGATTTTTGAAGATTTTGCCAAGTCGTGGTCCTGGATCCTCATGTGAGTAGCAGATTTTTATATTAGTTTGTAAACAGAAATTGTCTGCAGCCATTCTCACTAGGGATGCACCGATACCGGTTTTTGGTATGGAGTACCGATATATATATTTTTTTTGTAATCGCTGATACGAAATACCGATACTGGAATTAACACTCAAGGTTTTGTCCCTCCCCCTGCCTCTGATTGGACAATAAAAGGAGAAGCAGCAGACTGATAAGCTCACCTTAATATAAATGTACTCTCCTCCTATCAGCATTTTTCCTGTGCAGCTGATTGGCTCCTTGTGCTGCTTCTCCCACCCCAAGTCTGAGCTCTGCAAGAGGCTGATGCTGAGTCAAATTCAAGTACTTCATCCTTAAAATAAATACTTTTAAGGATGTATTATGAATAAAGTTCCTTATATATCTGCTTGGAGTCCATTTTTAAAGGACAAGTTCACTTTTTATTCTGATGTTCATCCTCCTTTGGCAAAGGTTCTAGCCCCTCTGGTTCTAGCCCGGCCTGTACAGTGAGGTCCCATAGACGTGATGGGGACCATACTCCTAACATTGGAGACATCATAGGTACGGTGCCATTCCAGTGTATGGGGACTCCCTGCACAGGCATAGCTAGATTGCAGGCCAAAATAGGGGCACACAATGGAGGAGGCCACAACTGTCATAGAGAGGTAAGTAAGCACCAGGACAGATGGGCATGGGTAGGGGATGTTGTGTTCTAGGTTAGATTAGGTTGGGTGGGATTAGTTCAATTACAGTGTTCATCCTCCTATGGCAAACAGTTCTATCCTTTCTGGTTCCAGCCCCACCAGTTCCCCATAGACTTGAAGGGGACCATACTCCCAATACTAGAGACACCACAGGATACGATGCCATTCCAATATATGGGGACTCCCTCCACAGGCATGGCTAGATTTCAGGCCAAAATAGGGCAAACAATAGAGGAGGCCACCACTGTCATAGAGAGGTAATAAAGCACCAGGATGGATGGGCATAGGTGGGGGGTTGTGTTCTAGATTAGATTAGGTTGGGTGGGTTATTGGGTTTGTAAATAAAAATGAACTTGTCCTTTAAAGTCAATGTGTACTTTCCTTTCATAAGGAAAAGTGGAAGGTCTTACCTACAAGCAGTAGATATATGCATAAACATTAAAATAAATGTAAATTTAAAAAGTTACCAAAAAGGTTATTACTTACCTGTGTCTCTGCTGCTCGCTCCTGTCCAAATATCTGAAGATTCTTGAGCGGCCGTGAAAGAAGTTAGGGCGGGCACTGACTGGCACGGGGGGGAGGGGGCGGGTACAGCTGGATCTGCCTCTAGATAGGCAGAGCCAGCTGTCAATCACGCAGCTAGGTGGATCTGTCCCGGCTGCGGCGTCTCAGTATCCGGCGAGCTGTGTCCTCCCGTTACCCTTAGGAGAACTATGGGGAAAAGCCCTGACCCCATAGTTCTCCTTTAATAGACATGTTGATGTGGGAAGGGGAGTCAGGAAAGGCAAAATAAAAGCAGAATATACTTCAGCTTTAAATAGTACATTTATGTATAGAGGGCTATTCATCAGAACAGATGACAGAGGAGGGAAGAGGCACAGAGGGATATCAATGTAAAAGAGAGGCAGTTCAGGCCCTAGTAACAAAAACGTATTATTATTATTATTATACAGGGTTCATATAGCGCCAGCAGTTTGCGCAGCGCTTTACAATACAAGGAAGACATTATAGTTACAATACAATTCAAGACAAGATGGTACGGAGGGCCCCGCCCCTGAGGGCTTACAATCCAGAATCAGAGAGGGGCACAGAAGAGGCTTCTATGGCTAAATCATTCCCTTAGGCAGGACTTTTCCAGTTTCGATTTATTTTCACAATCCGAAGTCGTTCAGAAATGTATTGTATTTTTTAAGTCACTAATAACAACTTTTCCATTGGAGGAGTTCCAATGCATGTCCACCATTGGTCCGCACAGAGAAGCTGCCACCCTATAACACGTCTTCCCTCCCTCTGTGTTACAGAGCTCTGGCGATTGCCATGGTGGTCAGCCTCCTCTTCCTGATCTTGCTGCGTTTCACCGCCGGGTTCCTGGTTTGGATTCTGATCATCGGTGTTATCGGCGTCATCGGATACGGTAAAGCTGCCACTCAGTTTGGTGCGGCAGATACTTTGTCTTGCTCTAGATTTATATCCTTTGTGTCTTTTCAAAGAATTGGAATGGGAAGATCGCAGAGATGCAGCGGTATCATAGCCATGCTGCTGCTTTAACAAAATTCCATGTAGCAGAGCCCAGTCACATGACTCACCACACATGACTGGCTGTCATCCAATCACGAAGCTCTCCCTGCTGGAACTCTATGGGGCATCACGGCTTGCATTTTACGAATGTCCTGTAAAATGTGGTCTACGGTGTGGACTCGCGTTGCAGAATATAACAAAGACCCCCTTTGTATTATATGTGTTTCGCTGTGGTTGCATAGGCTGGCCATACACCTTTTAAGATTTTTCTCCGGCTGAACAAGATAAATCTTTCCATTTATCCATCCGTGCTTAACAGTCTCCCCTGTCAGCTATTGTATTCTGACAGCCGGTGTCCGTCACTGCAGCTGATTGGCTGCAATCACTGATCGGCCGTCAATTTGTCACCCGGCTTCTTTGACAAAAGTCCATTGAAAAAGAAGTCCGATATCTAAAATCTTTCTGTATTACCTACAACAACCAATCAAATGTCTTCTTTAATGTTCTGAACTTCCTATTCTTCAGATGCATTTTCCTTTTCTTGCTCAGGACCGGTATAACAAATCCTTTCATGGCCCCTCATCTGTGTGCTCCCAGTACTGACCTGTTTTTATTTATCTCCCTTTCAGGCATCTATCACTGCTATATGGAGTATTCCAGCACCACCCAGACTTTCAATGAAGTGGGCTTCAACCCCAATCTGTCCGTTTATTTCCACGTGAAAGAGACCTGGCTGGCCATCTGTAAGTCGTCTTAGAACAGAAAGAGGTCCATTAATATAAAATCTGCATCTCTTATTCGTCCAGCAAAACGGCAGATACATTCGCTCTGTGCAAATTAAGCAGCTGTCAGAATGGGGCAAATAAAAAAAAAAAAAGTTATTTTTACTTCTGCTCGAATGTTCTTCAATCGGTTAATTCATAGAGAGAATACCACATTATGGTCACTAGATGGTGCTGATGATGAGAGGAAATAAATACATGTTAGTAATGAGATACAATGTACAGTATTTCTGTTAAAAAATAAGTCGAGGCAACTGGACTTGCTGTATTTTTCTTGAAGACGTTTCACTGGACATCCGACCAGCTTCCTCAATTCAGAATTGAGAAAGCTGGTCGGGTGTGCAGTGAAGCATCTTCAATAAAAATACAGCAAGTCCAGTTGCTTCGACTTATTTTTTTTACAGATATACCGTGACCTGGATGAATGAGAACCTTCAGTATAATTTTTTTGTGATCTTTGGCTCCATCTAGTGGCCATGATGTGGTACTTTCCCCATTCACTCTGTTCTGAGGGAATATACCTATTGAAGAACATTCGACCAGAAGAGAAAATACACCAAGAATGTTTGTTTTCTGCCCCATTCTCACAACAGCTGGTTAAAACAGAGTTGTGGGAATAAATGATCATTCACACACTGTGCTGGGTGTGTAAATTATTAAAAAGCTGTACGTTATGTTTGGAGGGCTGCAAGGTATCTTACCAGCAACATGCCGGCTTCTGAACATAACGCCGGTCTTCTGGGTGCTGCAGGGAGCCAGGGATGAGACTCAAGCAGTGAAGTGCTCCAGTCACATCCCCAATCCTTCTCACTACTTGCTCGTAAATAAAGTTTCTGTGATTGGAGGAGGAAAGGAGGGGGCGGGGATGTGCCATCATCTCTCCTCCTCCAATCACCTCATTGAGAATAATACAAGGCATATTGTGAACAGGCAAGGAGTGGGCGGGGATGTGACTAGGAACACTTCATCGCTTGATCCACATCCCTCACTCCCCACAGTGCCCAGAAGCTGAGCGTTGTGTGTAGGAGACGGCATGCTGCATGGTAAGAATTTTACACTTTTCAGCAGCCCCTCCACATAACAAGCAGCTTTTATTGTGATAATTTACACACCCAGTGCAGCATGTCAATTATTATTATTATTATACAGGAAGTATATAGCGCCAACAGTTTGCGCAGCGCTGTACAATATAAGATAGACATTACAACTACCTTACAGTGTAAATGATCATTTTTCCAGGAGTTTGACTTTAACTCGCACAGAACGAATGTGCATGTATTTTTACTGGACGAGTAAGATATTTAAGTTTTTTTTTATAATAGACCCTAAAGTATTCTTCTGTCTCATTGCATCACATATCCCAAAAATATTTATTTTGTAATAGCGGGTGAAGCCATGCAAATCATTCCTTTATGCCGCTTGCATTAAAGCACATCCAGAAATGCCGGTGTATACAACCAACAGGGTTATTAACAGAAGGGTGAAGAGTTTGGGGAAGGCCGGAGAAGTGAACAATCTAGGACAACATAGCTGAACTGGAAAGTGATCTGAATTGGAGAATTTTTCCATATTGTCTATGTTGTCCTAGATTGTTCCCTTCTCCTGCCTTCTCCTAACCCTTCACCCTTCTGTGACTAACCCTACAAATATTATAGAGACTTTAATTCCCAACCATATACAGGCTTGCTGGTCATCATTACTGCACTGCATGGAATCAATGCTCAGTAATTCACAAATGTGGTTCTCTGCCGCCATCTAGCGTTCAGTAATGGCACTGCAGCCTAAATCTGCAACCCGCACCAATAGTTTTATGAATGGAGCCGTTTTCTGCAGAGCGATGAGGAACGGCATCCTTAGCCAAGTATCTAGTCTGCAGTGAGCTCTGCAGTGACTGTTGGTCCCATCCATACCTAAACTGTGTACATAGGTGTCCGGTATTCTTTGAATCATTGATATCATTCTTGTCCTCGGGACATTGACATAATTTCTGTCCTGCAGGACTACACTGCCTGTTACATGATCAGCAGGGATAAAAGTTTGGACCTTTTGTATCTCCTTGTGCTTAAAAGAGGTCTGTACGTGCAGTAAGTGGTGAGCCCAGAGACAGCCATGCAATTGGCATTTTCAGGGGGAGGTCTGCAATGGAAAGCTTTTAACAAAAAAAAAATGTTTCCATTGCAGACCTCCTAAAATCTCAATTGACTTATCTCTCTTATCGCCTTCCGAGCCACAGACCTGGAACAAGCATGCATTTAGTAAAGTCAGTATGTAATAATAACTTCTGGCCTGCTTACTTGTTCTGAGTCTGTTGATTAAAAAGTACTGAAGCCATGACAGCCAGGCAACTAGAAAAGGCAACTTGATTTCTCTTGGTGCAGAGCATGCCTTAGAACGCGGTAGTGTTGGCACGTTTTGTATATTTTGTCGTGAGCCGGAATTCCCCTTTTGATGATTTATAAGCTTGGAAAGACGATGTTACTCTCACACAGCGACGGTGTCATTCTTATACTTGCAGTGATTGTGCTGGCCGTGGTGGAGGGGGTTCTGCTGCTGCTTCTCCTGTTCCTGCGGAAGAGGATCCTTATCGCCATCGCTCTGATTAAAGAGGCAAGCAAGTGAGTGAGGGGCAATCTCAGGGCCCATCCATCTGAGGGCCAACACTTAGAAATATGGTGTTTAGGAGAAAGTAAACATGTAGGTCTAATCTAGGACTAAAAAAAATGTCATGTCTGCAATACATGAATACTTGCACACTTACACATGTTATGTCTCTTTATTATATGCTGCAGATCTACCAGAAATCCAGCATGGTCCTAACTTCCTGTTTAAGCTGACAACACTCCCACTAAAGTCCCAGGCAGTGTTGTCAGCCCTGCCTCCCCTGCTGATGGGGGAGAAGCGTTCTGTAGTCCAGCAGGCAGGCAGGGCTGAAAACACTACTTAGGATTTCGGTGCAGCAGAGGCAGTGTTGTAGCCCACTACACAAAGTTAGAGGCTCACATAATGTTTCACCATTTTTAGAGATACAAAACACGGGGAAGTGTGCATGTATTGCAGAGATGTCCTAAATGTTTTTTTTTGCTTTTGGCGCACTGCAGGAAGAGGGGTGTCATATCAGTTTGGCATTCTGTGAAGCGCACGCACACACACTCCACTCCACAATAGCATACATTTACATTCACACCTCATTGTGGCCACTAGATGGAGCCGAGGAGCATAGGGACAAAGTATTGATTTTTCTAGGCTTTGGCTCCATCTAGTGGCCATTATTATTTGTGAATGTAAATGTTCGCTTTCGCGGAACGAACTGCTCTGCAAACTTTTAAAGGAGAAGTATGAGGTGAGTGCTTTTCACTCACCTCATAGTTCTAGCCGACCTGTGACAATGAGACTGTCACAGGTCGGCTCAGTAGATTGGGAAGTGGGCGAACACATACCGGCTGGATTTCCCCCTCCCCGCTCCGATCCGCCAGCGCTGACTGGCGGAACGGACGGGGGAAGGGGCGGGTACAACCTTTTCATTAGTTCCTAAAGGTAAATGGAATGGCGTATTGTTGTGGGATGTCACCTATAAGTTTGGTTTGAGGACTTATAAGACACAAAAAATGGGGTTTAGGAGGCCATGTTGAACTTAATAAGGTTTAAAGCAGACCCTCACTCTAAAAGCGCATCATGCCCCATTTGAATCTTTCCCCCTCACAATATTAAAAACCAACTTGTTTTTCTTCTATGCTTCTATCTGCAATTGTTTTCGCCTTTCTTTTGTACCGCCCTCTTCCTGTATTCTTGCTTTGGCGAGAATGGTGTTTGTGCTTCCTCCTGTAGCTTCCCGGGATACCTGCGTCTAGTATCCTGGGAGGCAACACATTGCGCAATATCTCGCTCCCACAGCTGAGAGATCTGCAAGATCTCATGCCGCATCATCAGGGGACCGGCTGCAGGAATCCAGGAGAGACAGCCGGTTCCCCATGAGCATCGTAGCTAAGAAGAGGACAACGCTGGATTTGATGGTTTTGTGAGTATATTTTGTTTTCATAACACAGGGGACATTTATCAGAACACTTCGGGATTACTGGGCACCAGAGGGGTGAAGGTTCGCTTTAGGTCACCATTGATAGTGGAGGTCAGTGTGCTAACTCTGTGGTCTTTCTCTCCTCAGGGCAATTGGTTACATCATGTCTTCCCTGTTCTATCCACTGGTCACGTTTGTTCTCCTGGTGGTCTGTGTGGCGTATTGGGGTATCACCGCTCTGTATCCTTCATTCACTTATATCACAGTATTACACTGTATATTCCACATAGTATACTTCTCATGTACCAGTCACTGCTTGTGGGAACTCAGCCTGTCTAATCATTGAGTACTGGCAACAGCCAAGTGATTGGTAGGCCCAAAATCTGGCATTTGCCCAAAATGGCAGGTATGTCTGAGAGCATCTGCGGGGTGCAGGAGCTCCTGTGGGCCGCGCACCTTTACTGAAGGGTAAAGGGGAAGTCTGCTGAAAATGGTTTTATGGTAGGATGCTGGTAGGTGGAGTCACCTGCAGGTTTTGGACGTCAGTCGGTGAAATCTCCTTGTTGGTCGGTTCTGTTTTTTTTTGCTGCAGTGCTCAGAACCTTCAACAACATGGAAAATCAGGAAAATACCACATTATGGCCACTAGATGGCGCTAATGATACATACATCTTTGCAGCAAGAGAAACAATCTAACAATTCTAAAGAATAATGGAGGGAATGAGCAAATAGATGTAACCATTGATACTAACGGGATCCCCCCATAGTAGCATTGGTTACTTTCATCTGCTAATTCCCTTCAGCGTTCTCTGGAATTGTTACATTGTATCTCTTGCTGCTAAGTATGTGAAAAAAGGATTGTGCGTTACAGAGCACATAAAGGAAACTAGATTTTGTGAATGTTTTTGTAGGGGTTTTAATCAGAGTCGAAATCTAAGGTTCCTTGACCTATCCCAGATATCTGGCAACCTCAGGAGCACCATTGTACAGGGTATCTGTAGCAAACACCAGCATTGAGGGGTGTAATGACATATCGGGAAATGAAACCTGTGACCCCATGGTGAGTTTTCTTTCTCCCCCCTATCCCCCCCCCATCCCCATTATATTTTGAGGACAACCATTCAAAGTTCCATGAGTAAACATGAGCTGGCAACACGCAGATTTTTGCCAATCAGTTTGTAATAGATCATAGGAGTCGCCACCTTTGTCTGCAGCATTTGCACTAGGTCTGGCAAACTTAAATTATTATTATTTTATTTTATATTATCACTATTTATTCTTTGTGCTTATTTTAGGCCTCATTCACACGAGAAAAGGGCCTTGGCTCCATCTAGTGGCCGTACAGCTCCGTGCTGCGTGCGCGGGAAGGAGAGGTGTTGCATGTGATTAGTACGCAGCCCCTGTCCTTCTCTATGGAGTACACGGCCGTACGCCGCCCTACGCTCACTCGCCCTGCAAGTCTGTGTGCGGGTACGGGTGACGGGATGGATCCTGTCTGCGTCCGAGCTGGGACACCCGCCCCCGTACGGACCTGCACTTGAGGTGAGCGTAGGGTGGCGTACGGCCGTGTACCCCATAGAGAAGGACAGGGGCTGCGTACCAATCACACGCAACACCTCTCCTTCCCGGGAGCTGCCCGATACGGCCATGCATGCAGCACGGAGCTGTACGTGCCGGCCTTTTCTCGCGTGAATGAGGCCATAACCATCGAACAGATAGTGCCTGATTGACAGATGTGCCCATTTGTGCTTTAATTGGGTTGAGAAGAAAAATGATTAAGGTCATCACAAATCAACATTTTAGGGCCACATTTTGAGGGCCCTCTTATCAAGGCACAGTGATGCTGTTTTAAATCATATTCCTATTATGATTCTACTCCATCATTTTGGTGCTGTGATTTGGACCTCGCGATATATCACAACATTTTGGTGCCGTGATTCAGATATCGGATATATCCCAGCATTGTGGATCACCAGTATCTGACATCCGGATCATAGCAGAAGAATGCTGTGATGTTATGGAGGAGGGATGTCCCTCGCAGTATTGAGGAGCACACATATACCACCACCAGAAACATTGGAAGGAGCAACCCTTGGTTCTTTAGAAAGAGAGAGGATTTAATGGAGATGTTCCTGAGCATACAAGCAGAGAACTAAGAACATTCGTTTTTGCCTCTATTCCCAGAGGATGAACATTCAGAGATTCGCAGGGCAAATGGCTTCTAAATAGACTCCTTTTATTACATGGAGCCAACCTCGAAGTGCTCTTTCATCTTGTTATGTTGCATCTGTTACTATTGTGTTACATTAAACATGTAAAGTATCAACATCATTGGTTCTCCTCTCTTGTAGAATTTTACTAGCAAAGCAGGGTGCCCTCAAGCCCAGTGTATCTTCTTCAAGTACAACACAGAGGGCATCGTCCAGCAGAATATCTTCAACCTGCAGATCTATAACATCTTCGGTTTCCTGTGGTGCATTAACTTCGTCATCGCTCTGGGCCAGTGTGTCATGGCGGGAACGTTCGCCTCTTATTACTGGGCATTTCACAAACCTAAGGACATGCCCTACTTCCCTGTTTCAGCCGCATTTATGAGAACGCTGAGGTGGGTCCACAGATTCTTGTGTACAATAATATGTTGGGTCTGCTGGGCCCAGTTGCCCACTGATCTCCCAGGGATCCCCTGGGCTGAGACGCCGGCTGACTTCTTAGACCTACCAGGGGTCCCCTGGGCTGAGACACCGGCTGACTTCTTAGACCTACCAGGGGTCCCCTGGGCCGAGACGCCGGCTGACTTCTTAAACCTCTCTGGGGTCTCCTGGGCTGAGTTGCCGGCTGACTTCTTAGACCTCTCTGGGGTCTCCTGGGCTGAGTTGCCGGCTGACTACTTAGATCTCTCGGGGGGTCTCCTGGGCTGAGTTACGGGCTGACTACTTAGATCTCTCGGGGGTCTCCTGGGCTGAGTTGCCGGCTGACTACTTAGATCTCTCGGGGGGGTCTCCCGGGCTGAGTTGCCGGCTGACTACTTAGATCTCTCGGGGGGGGCTCCTGGGCTGAGTTGCCGGCTGATTTCTTAGACCTCTTGGGGGTTAGCAGATCAGTTATTTTTCCACTTCCTGTCACAGGGTGACAACGCTGTTCATTGTGGAAAAACACCTTATAAAGGGGCAGATTTTCAGCAATGCGTGCCCTGGTTACTGCTGCCATTTACATATTTATGGTGGCTTTCCCCCCTGCAGGTACCATACAGGATCCTTGGCGTTCGGTTCTCTCATTCTCACCATCGTTCAGATGATCCGAATCGTCCTCGAGTATCTGGACCACAAGCTGAAAGGTAATCCCTTGGCTTTGCTGTTTGGGGAATCCTTTAAGAAAACTAGGTTTACTTTGGGGGGGGGCCCTTTCCCATGATGTCCAAACCGGATCTGGAGGCAGTTCTGCAAACGTGGTGTAGTGTGTTTTTCATGTTCCTGTGCAGGGTTTTGGGGGTTTTTAGTGTCAATGGACTTATAGGTGAGTTTCAGAGCGTTTTGTGAGGGAGAAGTCAATCTTCACTCACAGATAGGAATAGCTGGAAGAGAGGGCAATGTAGTCGTGATGGGTGACTTCAATTACCCAGACATAAATTGGGCCAATGGAACTTCGGGTTCGGCAAAGGCGGGGCGATTTCTAAACATGTTGCGCGACAACTTCATGGACCAGATGGTGGAGACTCCTACCAGAAAAAATGCCATCTTAGATCTAATTGTCACTAATAATGCAGAGTTAATCGAGGAATTTGTGTGTTCCAGACCAGAAAAAATGTAACGTGCAGTATGTACAGTATGAACTAAGCTCAGAAATTCCATAGGAATACACTGAGCTGCATTTTTGGTGCGGACAAAAAACGTTCTGCTCTGGATCTGGTCCGGACATGACATGAATGGGCACAAAAGCAATTCCTAAAGTCAAAACCTTTCTGTTTAGAACAGAGTAGGGGAGGGGGTTAAAACCCCAGTCTAGTTTTCTTTTGCCATCTGCGTCCCATTAGGGAGAACTACCTTGACTTCCTGTCCTGTAGGCACAACAGGAAGTAATAGAAAAGCATGCCGAATTAAGGGAAATCACCTCTCTGGCAGCTGTCACCAGAAACGCATCTCCTTACGAGGATTTCCCCTATATTCTTGTTCTGGTGACAACTCTAAATTTTAGATGTCCCCTCACCTTCTTCCCCAGTTACAGGGGTCACCATAACACAGAGAGAGGGTGCATGTCCCTAGCAGGGACACAGATGGCAATGAATACCCAAAAGGAGTTCTAACCCCCTCAATACTGTATCCAAAAACTTTGTTTGAAATATATTCCCCAGAAGCCACAATCAGAAAAAAATCAAATTTGTGTGCACCTAATAACTTTACAAACCCAGTTATTACCTTTGTGAATGTAGCAGTAGCGTCATCACTGTGCTGTACATAGCCTGTGCAGAGAGTAGATCTGTGGGAGGGACCCAGCAGGCTCCACCCATTACATAAAACTACAGGAGGGGTGGAGACGAGACCAGTCACCCAGCAAAAATAGAGAGAGCAGCAGTGACCGTTCCTTATTACAGCAGGGGGCGGAGACAAGACCAGTCACCCTGCACAAGGGGAGAGATCAGCAGTGAGCTGTCTTTATTACAGGAGGGGGCGGAGACAAGACCAGTCACCCTGCACAAAGAGAGGGAGCAGCAGTGAGCGGTCATTATTACAAGAAGCTCCAAGTCTCACATTGGATTACTGCCCAGATCTGGAAGAATTACACAAAGCTCACAAAGATTCCAGGAACAATACACAGCACTCTTGTATTTAGACAATAGTTTATTAAGCTTTAAGTAAAGGCGGGTTCCCTGAAACATGTTATAAGAAATGTCAGCTGTGTGACTTGTTTTGTCATGTGTGATTATAATTTAATTTCTACGTTTACAATTACTCATCATTGACATTATTAGACAGTGAATGGCTCCCGTGTGTAATTCCATTTCTGTCCACTAGGAGCGCAGAACCCGTGCACCCGCTTCCTCATGTGCTGCCTCAAGTGCTGCTTCTGGTGTCTAGAGAAGTTCATCAAATTCCTGAACCGCAATGCATACATCATGGTAACGCACGGCCGTTGTGTTCAGCTGCCCTCTATGTTTTAAAGCAGAACTCCGCCCAGTTTTATTTATGTAGTATAAGCTGTCGCTAGAAGAGAGAGTGAGGGGAATCAAAGAGAACCCTTCCTTACACTAAAAACAAAATGGAGTTCCCCTTTAAACCCTCCCACATGGGATGGATGTTTATTAGAGTCAGTCAGTAATTTCTGATGGAAAAAGGAAGACCAGAGCAAATGATTGCAATGACTTTCCATCATGGTGGACATTTCTATTGGAGGCCCTATGGCTGGTAGAAGTTGCTTAAAGTAGAACTCTGGTTACAAATTGTATCACCCTTGCTGGGGGGCTACCCCGCCACTGCAAGGGTTGAGTGCTCGTTTTTACCTAGGGTCAAAAATAACTAAGTTATACTTTATAGTTTTATTTTGCACATTTAAAATAGTCACTAAAAAATATTAAGAAATAAAACAAAAAAATAGTTTAAACATTAATGGTAAAAAAATAGAAAAAAGGATCAGCAGCAAAATAATAGCTTAGGGGGAGAAAGTCATTCGTTGGGACTGTTTAGGGTTAATTAAAGACGGACGTGGAATCTGGAAGCTGTGCAAAAAAAAGGCAGGAAGAGGGCATAGGGAGTAATCGGAGGACTATAGGGAGTAATCGGAGGACTATAGGGAGTAATCGGAGGACTATAGGGAGTAATCAGAGAACTAGACACCTGTATGGCCTGAGGTCTCCTTACAGCTGATCGTTTCCCTTACTGACTTACCATGCCTTGTTCTACATTGTGTCTCTGTGTGGAGGCAGCCATCTTGGTAGAGGCAGGGCTTTGCTTCCTCATATCAGGGCCTCCAGCACAGAGAACAGTGATCAGCGCCGCAGTGACCTCACTTAATCTCACTCCAGATCTCCTGATACTATCAGTCAGAGGCAGCAGTGCCTGAGATCTCACACTGCAGTTATACAGCAATGAGGATGTAGGTACAGGAGTACCTAGCCACACCCACATACCAGGAAGTGCATTGCTGCTTTCCAGGAGGAATTCCAGACAAAACAATATCTTTTTCAGGATACTACTTAAGCATAATTAACATTTCTAGATGTTCCCTATAACAGAAATCTTCAGGTCCACTTAAAGGGTTAATTAGTAACATCTATTATTCATGTTTTTTTGTTACTCTGAAGGTTGCTATAACTGAGGCCATATCCAGATCAAACATCACCGCTTTGATCTGCTTTGAATGAACTATAATGTTGCTACATTGTTATTCTCCTTGAGACTACAGACTATGTGAGTGTCGGTGTACGCAGGGACAGGTACAGCCACTCCTGTGATGTATTGAAATGACAGCCGGGATTTGCCAAAAATTGTCCAGATAGCTGCTTAGAAGGAAGAGGTGCCGGGCATACAACGTTTTCACTACTTTAATGATGGTTTTTAGGACATACTTTGTATGCCCCAAGTCCACAACGGACTAGTTACTTGCTTGATAATGCTAAAATCCCACGTAGAAGCCCTTCATTCATTCAATTTGCCCTCCATTTTGCTTCTTTTAGTGAATATTTTGTGTACTTTAATGTTTTGTTTTTTTTTATAATTTATAGATTTTCCTCATATTTTTCCTTTGCAGATCGCAGTTTATGGAAAGAACTTTTGCGTCTCTGCTAAGAACGCCTTCAAGCTGCTGATGCGGAACATTGTGAGGTGAACATGGACACACACACATGCGCTTCCTATGTTATTAGATTACGCTTAATTGTCTGTGCTGCCCACTGTACAGGGTCATGTGTCCCTGGAAATCATGTCTGTCATTGGCTAGCAGGACCTGTGAGTATGTGTGCGGGTTGGCATTTTGCCTGTGACATCGGTGTGATTTTTTTTTTTTTTTAGCATGCTTTGTTACATCGTCACTGTCCAGCTTTCATGTATGGCGTGTTTCAAGTGTGTGCTTTGCATGGAATAAGAACTTGGACATTTTTTTATGTGTGTTTGGTCTTTACAGGGTGGTTGTCCTGGATAAAGTGACCGACCTTCTCATTTTGTTCGGGAAGCTGATTGTTGTAGGAGGAGTCGGTGAGGATTGTAGTTGATCTTGTTCTTCAGACATTCCTTGTTTCCTCTGTCACTTCCTGCAGGGTTCCTGGTCTTCATTTCTGGTGCTACCAACTTCATATAGGCATTGTATTGTATGTGCCAACCCCCTACCAACACACATGTCTGCATGTGCCATTCTCTCCCATGCCCTACCTTCTACATGTGTTACTCTCTCCTTTACTGTCTCCCATTCCCTCTCTCCTACATGTGGTGTTCTCTCATTTCCTCCCTTCTATGTGTGCCACTTTCTCATTCGCTCAGTCCTGTGTGTGCCGCTCTCCCCCATTTGATCAGTGCTATGTGTGCCTATCTCCCCTATTCCCTCAGTGCTTTGTGTGCCGTTTCCCCCCATTACCTCAGTCCTATGTGTGCCGATCTCCCCCAATGCCTCAGTCCTATGTGTGCCTCTCTTCCCCATTCCCTCAGTCCTATGTGTGCAGCTCTCCCCCATTCCCATGTGTGCCGTTTTCCCCCATTGCCTCTATCCTATGTGTGCCGTTTCCCCCCATTACCTCAGTCCTATGTGTGCCGATCTCCCCCAATGCCTCAGTCCTATGTGTGCCTCTCTTCCCCATTCCCTCAGTCCTATGTGTGCCGCTCTCCCCCATTCCCATGTGTGCCGTTTTCCCCCATTGCCTCTATCCTATGTGTGCCGTTTTCCCCCATTACCTCAGTTCTATGCATGCTGCTCTCCCCCACTCCCTCAGTCCTATGTGTGCTGCTCTTCGCCACTCCCTCAGTCCTATGTGTGCCGATCTTCCCCAATGCCTCAGTCCTATGTGTGCCTCTCTTCCCCATTCCCTCAGTCCTATGTGTGCCGCTCTCCCCCATTCCCATGTGTGCCGTTTCCCCCCATTCCCTCAACCCATGTGTGCCGCTCTCCCCCATTCCCATGTGTGCCGTTTCCCCCCATTCCCTCTATCCTATGTGTGCCGTTTTCCCCCATTCCCTGTGTCCTACGTTTGTCATCCTATCCTATTCTTTCTGTCTCTTAGGAGTCTACCACCCATATACCCTCTTCTAGAGGTGCTGCCAGCATGCTCTTTACCATCATCTTCCCATTTGCTGATGCCACAAGTGCTGCCACAATCACCTATTGGTCCCCCTCCTCACCTATTGCATTTTCCTGCATATTTTACATTGTTTGTCTCCACAACGACTGCACTTCCATTACTGTGGGCTCTGTCTTGTATGCTCTGTGCCCACTAAGGGCTTCCCTTTCAAATAAAATACTTGGTCCTTCAGAGCTATCATTGCCCTTTGTAATGAACAAGGTCCATAGTACCCACACAACTCCATCCTGCCAGTACTATAATGATGGAGGAGGTATAGGGAATGGCACCTGGAGGTGGCATGATACCCTTTTCCTCAGTGACGCTCCAGCTGCTCACATTCTTTAGCACTATACTGGGCCATTGCTGTCTTCCTCCTCTGTGTCCCATCTATTCCTGCGCACCTCCTATATTTTGTCTGACCATTTCCCTCTTGCACTTCTCAGGCATCCTGGCATTTTTCTTCTTCTCCGGTCGACTGCCAATTCCAAACGATGCCTTCAAGTCTCCGAGTTTGAACTATTACTGGATACCAATCTTGGTGAGTAGTCAAGGGAGGCTCAGCGAGGGAACGCAGGGGCCTCATCCTGTCCAAACTAGTCTGCGTTGCCTCAGATTAATCAAATAGTTTCATATCTACACCCTCCAGATGACATTATCAGTATTGATTTGAGCCAATTGCTGAGGATGCATGGACGTGTCTGAGACAGTTCTCTCCGCAGACAGTTCAATACAATGCAAGGCAGTACGCTCAGAATTATATCTATCATTTTGTGTGTGGGTCTCATCAGGTGGAATGGTGCATGTTATAATTTATTTAGCAGACACGTATAATAAACATTTGCAGGAATCCTGATCCAATGTCAGTGACTAAAAAGAAAAATAAATAGTTTTTTTTTTTATATTGGCCATTTATTGATAAAGCTTACCCATGGTGGCGGAGAAGGCAATATAGTGTGAAGGTGATGAGAAGCAAGTGTTAATTGTTCATGTGTTTCCTTGCAGACGGTGGTCGTCGGATCATACATCATTGCTCAGGGCTTCTTTAGTGTGTACAACATGTGTGTAGACACCCTCTTCCTCTGCTTCTGTGAGTATACTGGATATAGATATTTATGGTGAACCTCTAGTAATTATATACGTCATCAACTGACAGCTAAGAGGTGCCTGTGCTTACCTCGAAAGAAACCTTTCTCTAGAGAAACATGGCGGCTGCCATTGCTGACTCCATCTGAAAATGCTACTTGCTTGCCCGTCAGTAATGTGCTGGCTTAAAGTAGCATTAAGGTCTGGGCGTTTCTTACCTTAATGCATTCTCTGCATTAATGTAAAAACGGCCCAGCACCTTTTTTCTACCCCAGTCCCCCCCACACTTACCTGTCAGCTGCGCTCGTCCCCGCCGCCGGTCCAAAGAGATCCTCCGTTCCCCGCAAACTTCCGGGTTGCGGGGGAGGATACTGATAGGCTCCTTCTCCCATCAATCAAAGAGGGAAGGGGCGTGGCCTGTCACAGGGCTGTGTGTGTCTATGGACGCACACAGCCACTGCGGAAACGAGCGTGCAAGGGTGCCTCCATTAGAATGATGGGGGCACCCGTGCAGGGGGCGGGGGGAAGTGCGCTGCGGGGAGCCACTAGAAAACGAGGAATTAGGAACTTTTAAAGGATAAAATCAACAGCCTCCAGCAAAGGAGGAGAAATTTAAAAACAAGTTAGCCTTTAATATCACGTTAAGGCTAGGTTCACCCCTAGGCAATTTATGGCACGGATTTAGCCACACGATATCGTACAAAACAGGGATTTGCATTCAAGTCTATAGGAGCTGTTCACACCTTTGCGATTTGTCGCACGGTAGAAATCGCCTGTCGTGCAAAAAGGTTCAAGAGCTATTTTTGGGTGGTTGTCGTGGAGTTTGTGTTCCATAAACATCTCTATGCATTGAAAACCGCAAAAACAGCTCACCAGCTCAATTGCTTAGGTGTGAACCTAGCCTAAGGCTCCATTCACAGTGGGGCAGCTGTCTGCGCTTTTTTGGCTGTGCGAATACGTGCGTAGCCGCTCTAAAACAGAAAAAAACATGCACTTTAATGTGTATTGTTCCGCCTATTGGGGGGACCGAGCGGCCCCCAAAATAGTGCAAGTGCGATGATAACACGGATCCCACATGTTCGCAGCTATATAATAGCCGCAAACAAGCAGAATCCATGCATTTGTTTCACATATAGCGTTTGCATCCCGTCATATAGCGTCTTATGCACTAAAAACTGCATGGGAAACGCAAACATTGTATGTGAATGGAGCCTTAGGGTTTTGAGCCATTGCCCCAGAACAAGTATACAGAAAAGGAATTCCAGTTCAATCCCCTTGAAATACCTGGTGATTCCTGCCAGTCTCCATTAGTATGATGTGCTTCCTGACCACACTAAGCACGGAAGCAGATCTGTACTAGCCTGGTCAGTTTGCATCCCTGCTTCCTCTTCTGCAAGGGTAATCAACCTCAGCACTCCAGCTCTTGTGAAACTACAAATCCCATGAGGCATTGCAAGACTCTGACAGCTACAGGCATGACTCCCGGAGTCTTTGGATTTGTATTTTCACCACAGCTGGAGTGCCGAGGTTGCCTACCTCTGCTGTAATAAAACTTACGGGATGCTGTGCCAATGCATGATGGGTCCTGTAGTCTGCTTAAGACATTAAAGATTGACAAGCCACCTATCCAGCTTATTTGACAGCAGCCAATCGTGTGCAGTCCCTTCCCTCCTCTCTGGGAGCTTGGGTAAAAGAGGGGCTATATTGATCATGTGACTGAGGTAAAATAGAGGTACAAAAGCAGTTTTGGAGAGTTTTCATATTGTTTTGTTGTCATCTTTGCTTTATACACCAATGTATTTACATTGACTTTAATGCTAGTGGCAGACTGCACTTGGGTTTCACCTTCTCCATTGACTCCAATGAATGTCCATTTTCGCTCGCCCCTACTAGTCAGCAATGGCTTCATCCATGTCCCTTTACCTCCGCTGGTTTAGTAACGCATCTTCTTCTCTTTTCCAGTGGAAGACTTAGAAAGGAACGATGGCTCTGCAGAGAAGCCATACTACATGTCTAAATCTCTCATGTCCATCCTCAACAAGAAGAACCGCCCGGCCGAGGGCGAGGATAAGAAGAAAAAGAAGAAATAATGATTGCTGGTAGGATTCGCACAGCTCCACACTCGGACTGATAATAAGAGAATCTTCCCAATCCGCCACTGCTTCCCGACTGGCAGGCAGGATGAGAATTGCTGCTGATTTCTTTTTTTTTTAAATCTTTTTCTATTCATATCCGTTAGGCGACCAATCACTTTTCTGGGGCCGGCGACAAATGTCATGGCGTCCATTTTGTTTACATTTCAGTAGTGTGAAAATCCAACAAGAAGGGTTTAAAAACGGGCCATTGAACGGCAAGATGTTTATTGTTCCACCAATGAAGGATCTGGTTGTAACCAGCTACACACACACACACACACACACACACACACGACAACTGGGGCTTACAGAAGCATATTGGTGAACTAAAGCATGTACACTATATGGCCAAACGTTTGTGGGTACCAAACCATCACAGGCGCCACTTTTCTAGGAAGGCTTTTCACGAGACTTTAGAACATGTCTGGGAATGCGTACCCATTGTGATGTCAGGTACTGAAGTTGGTTAAGAAGATCGGACTCGTGATTCCAAATCATGCCAGAGGTGTTCAGGAGGGTTGAGGTCAGGACTCTCTGTACAGACCACTTGAGTTCCTCCATACCAAACCATGTCTTTATGGAGCGGGCTTTGTGCAGTCATGCTAGAACAGAAAAAACTTCCCAAAAATGTTGCCACAATGTTGGAATCCTGCAGTTGTCTAAAAAGTCTGTGTATGGTGTGTAGCATTAGTTCCCTTCACACAAAAGAAGATGATCTCAATCATTTGGAGAGGTCTCCACATACTTTTGGCCAACTAGTGTAGCAGGTCAGATGTCCATAAACAAGCCAATAACAGTTATCAATATGCTGTGAAAGAATTCCTGAAACCGGCCACAAATGCTGTGTGTGTTCCTGGCCTTGGAGTGAGAAGTGTTTGGTGGAGTTCCTCTTCAATCCTTCAGTGACCTCCTAACTGTGAATGTGTCCAATCGTGGATCACACATGGCTTCCTGTTGTGCCTTATATTAATGTTACAAGCAATTGTCTTGTAAGTTTCTTTTTTTCACTTGTTTTAATCTTTTTTTTTGTCTCATTCTATAGCAGAAGGCGGCTATTTTATGAGGCGGCCATATAGAGAGTGGGCCTATCATTTTAGGAGGCTCTAGCGGCATCGCTGATCTGATGCCGGTTCAAGTCACACAATGGCCGCCACCTTCAATGTCTGATTTTAATGTAGTGGGTAGAACCCATTTTGTGTTAGATATTAAAGTGTATCTAAAGTCAAAACTGTTTTCTGGCTAGTATGGGGGAGGATTAGAACCTCTGTCAGGTTTGTATTGCTGTTTGTGTCTCCGCTGAGTGGATTCAGCCTCTCCATTTCTCCTGGTGACCATCGTCACCAGATCCGAATGCGAGAGACAATATTACATGTTGAATTGTCCGCAGAATTGGAAATCTTATAATAGTGACAACTGTTCCGATGATGTGACTCTCTCACTTCCTGTTTTATCTACAGAACAGGAAGTGAACCAAAATCTACTCAATGGGACACAAATGAACAAAAAAACCCCCAGAGGTTGTATTCCTTCCATACCCTATCCAAAATGCTTCACACTTCTCTGTGTGAAGAAGATTTGCAGCACTGTATGGCCATTAGAAGGAGCACAGGAAATTCCTTTGCTCCTCGGCTCCATCTAGTGGCCACACAGTATTGTGAATCTCGTTCACACAGCAAACAGCTGTGCAAAATGGTAAAAAAAACTTTTTAAAAACAGGATACAAATGCCTCTCTGCAAAGCCAGCAATCGATACCTACCTGTCCGCTACCAGCACTGACAAACGCCCCCGAGTTGAAGAAATACGCTTACTGAGAGTTCAGCATGCGGCACACTTCCTAGTGTATTGAATGCCTGCCTCCTACCCCCTGCGTTGTGGATCCTTCCACCGGCTCCTACATCATTATACTGTGTCTTGTACTAATGTAGGGGCCAGTGGAAGAAACCACAGAGCGTAGTGGGGGACGCCAACATCCGACACTCCAGGAAGTGTCAAACACAGAAGAGGGCTTCGCTCCAGCACAGTGGCTTGGTGGCACGGACGGGTAACCCAGTATCTTTACATAGAGGTCAGCAATGGCAGAGAGAAGAAATTAGAAACACCTACAAAGCATTTAAGTGGAGCGGCTCCGCTGAGCCGTAGAATTCACTGGATGGCACTTTAGGTCGCACATAATTTATATATAGGACGTATGAACTGATTTTCTTATCTCTTGATTATAGGTTTTTGTGCCGGATCAGATTTTATAGCGTTTACATGCATGTACATAATGCTGTATATTTGTGTGTATAGATATACAGAGGAGACGACTATTTTCTAAATATAAATAAACTGATTCATAAACTAGATTCCAGCATGGAGTTCTTTATTATATAATAATCAGATATTTTATTTACAGATCGGTACCAATTACATCCCAGAAAGGTGAAGTTATAAAAACAGTGCAAGAAATGCTCAAAGGCAGTTGGACCGCTGTCCCCTGATCCCGTTATATGGCGGTCTGGTGCCGTCCCAGCAATGTTCCCTCATCATGAATACAGTAACGGCTTGCATGGAGTACAGATGATCTGTGAAGTGTGTTAAGCTGCCCATACGATATAAACTCCGGCCCTCCAGCTGTGGTGGAACTACAAATCCCATGAGGCATTGCAAGATTCTCACAGACATGACTCCCGGAGAGAGATGCATCGTGGGATTTGTATTTTCACCACAGCTGGAGGGCCGGAGTTTGGCTACCCCTGCGCTATACAATTAGATTGTGCAATCTCCTTTAGATCTACCATCAACTATGTAGTGCAAGGGCCGGCCTGAATAGATGGTTTCGGTTTGTCCTCATATTGCACAGTATGGTAAATCTAAAAGAGATTGTATAATGTATGGCCAGCATTAGAATACCCGCAGACAGATCCCCTAGTATACCAGGGGTAGGCAACCTTGGCACTCCCAGCTGTGCTGAAACTACAAATCATGCATTTGCCTCTGGGAGTCATGCCTGTGGCTGTCAGTCTTCCTATGCCTCATGGGACTTGTAGTTCCACAACAGCCGGACCGCAGAGATTGCCTGCCCCTGCACTAGAACATACACCCCGTGATTCCAATGATGGGTAAATGCAGTTAAGTTTTGAACTCTTTGCACCATATAGAAAAGGGAATTAGTTTTGGTGCCGGTTGGCACAGAGGTCTGTGTGTGATAATAGTTCTTATTGATGCTGGACAGGCGATGGACCACACTTGTGGGCCCGGCCAGCCAAACTCAAGGGAACGTTTTCCAAGGCAGGCTAGAAAATAAAAGCCTGTGTCTGATTGGTTGCTGCTAGGGGTTATTGGCAGTAGTTCTAAAAGGTGCCCATACACCTTACAATTATCTGCAGATTTTCTGTGGTCAGATGGAAAAAGTGCAACAGATTGGCCCAGGTGGAGATTACTCCATCCACACAGTTTAGCGTAGATGGAGGAATCTGTTCCACCTTTTCCATCTGACCATAGAAAGTCTGCAGATAATTGTAAGGTGTATGGCCAGCTTAATACAGGGTTTCTGGTTGGCAGTGAGGCGAGTGCAATGATAATTTACATTTCTACCATTTACAGCACCAAGACACGTCTGTTTCCAGCCCTGAGGTAATAAAAAGGCACTTTCGTGGCATGATGATTTATCAAGAAAAATAAAAAACAATACGGGGCCATAACCTCGAGGGGCCAATCACAATCCAAAGTTGCGGTAACGCCATTCTTTTTTAATACCACTCCAGTGCTGTAACGCAGCGGTGGTGAAGCTACAAATCCCTGCATGCATCCGACAGCCACAGACATGACTCCCAAAGGCAGAGTCTTGCAATGCCTCTTGGGACTTGTAGTTCCACAATAGCTGGGTGGCCTGAAGTTTGCCTACTCCTGCTCTAAAGCAAATCACTTTTTATTTCACACAACATAGTGTTAGAAAAAAGGGTCATGTGCTTTCTTTTGCACATTGGGGTACATTCACAATGAAGGGGCTGCTTTAGCACAATGCGGGACATAGCACGTATTGACACAATGGGCCCTGATTGCATCTTCTTAGCTCAGTCCAATGTGATTAATCCATTCTGAACATTTTTGGTTTTGATTGCCAACAAACCTTCTGTCAGAGAGGTGAACTTAGAAATCCAAAGGGCCCATCTACACCTCTGCGTTTATTGCAGCGCCTTGTTTTACATGCAGTACCATGCGTCCCAATGGAAGACGCACCAGAAATACAAGTGGCAGGAACTGGTTTGCGTTTATTGCACCGCACTATAAAAATGTAAACTGTGCAGAAGAATTACAAATCATTAGTGTTGCTCTATGACAGCCTGAGGATGGTAAGGGACGGTGCAAGACGCAGCTTGTCCCATAAGAAACTAACTTCATGGACCTGAAAACAAGTCTGCAATAAAAACTGTGCTGCCCATTACAATCCACCATTAAAGAGCCCAATTCAACTTTACATTGAAATTAAATACATTCCAGATTCATCAAAACAAGAAGAAGTGTGCAAAGCCTTCTCATTGGCTGTCTTTAGAAAGCGGCCACAGCTCTGAACAAAAAAAAAAGTCTGTCCCCTGCCAGCTGCAGAGAGGGACCCTTGTTCTCTGTGTGGGAGCAGTGGTCTCTCTGCAGAGGTCAGACAAGCCCCTTGCTGAATCGGCGCTCCCCAATCAGCAGAGAGCACGAGCTCCCCAATCAGCAGAGAGCACGAGCTCCCCAATCAGCAGAGAGCACGAGCCCCCCAATCAGCAGAGAGCACGAGCTCCCCAATCAGCAGAGAGCACGAGCTCCCCAATCAGCAGAGAGCACGAGCTCCCCAATCAGCAGAGAGCACGAGCTCCCCAATCAGCAGAGAGCACGAGCCCCCCAATCAGCAGAGAGCACGAGCCCCCCAATCAGCAGAGAGCACGAGCTCCCCAATCAGCAGAGAGCACGAGCTCCCCAATCTACAAAAAAAAAGGGAGATGATTAATGTACATTTCTTTGTCAGTTATTAACAGGGAACTCTATCCAAACTTGCTTTGAACAGCGAAAGGTTAGAATTGGTCAGGTTTTTATTGCTGTAGGCTTCCCCTTTGGTGGAAGATTTCTACTCATTTCCTGTCCTAGTGACAACCAGAACAGAAGGTGAGGTTAAATCTTTGCTAGGATAGGCAGTTCCTTGACAGCTGGACGCAGCCATTTGGCCGGGCCCAAGTACAGCATGTGACCAATGATCAGAGCCACGTCCCACAATCCTCTGGCGGCACCCTGTCACATGATCTAAGGCACCACCTATAAAATGTTAGATTGTAAGAAAATAGATTATTCAAGTATTAAAAGCTCCCGATGTCCCCGGTATGAAAATAGGATCTATTACTATGTATTCCTACGGCAATGAGTGTTAGAGATTTTATCTTTATATAATAATTGCTATTTTTAAGGGGGAGCAGCAATCCCCCTCTTCAATAAACCCCCTATACATATACAGCACCCAGCAGTACAGAGGACAGTACACCTCAAGTCAGGCCATCCGGGGTCCCATCAGCTGCTGAAGAACTCAAAGTCCCAGCATGCCTGTCCATAGGCCCGCTTGTAACGCTTCAGCAGCTGGATGGGAAACGTTGGCCAAAACTAGACACTGATTGAAAGGTTCCTCTTTCGTTGCAGCTAAGTTGTCTCTGGACACAGGTGCAAGTTACCTTCTGGCAGCAGATTCTGGTTTCATTGCCGGAATGACTACGGCCAAGAAATTGATAGGATACAACTTGTTCTCCGACACAAGAACATAAACGCTTACATTATACACGAGCACCCCGAGGAGACCTGTACTCTTCTCAGCTGTTCCCAAGCTGTAGTAAGCTTATTGGCTGATCCAGTTGTGGATATCAACATCAGCCGGTAATTAACCCTTAAAAAGCTCTGCTCCCCTAACTAGGTTTTCTATAAATATATCCCCCTAATGTCAGAAGTGTCCCCGCGTCATTAGTGTAATCCCCGGCAGTCACCTTCTACATCAGGTCAGTTCAATATATAAAAAAGCATGCGGGTAGGAAATCTCAGCATTCCAGCTGTAGTGGAACTACAAGTCCCATGAGGCACTGCAAGGCTCCGATAGTCACATGCATGGCTCCCAGAGGCAGAGCAATGATGGGATTTGTAGTATCAGCACAGCTGGAGTGCAGAGGTTGCCCACCCCTGTAATAGCAGATGAGATGAGGCCACAGTACCACTCAGAACCCAACCACGTCTTGGGCAGGCGACGATGAGGATGGCGAGTCGCTCCTTGATCCATATTGGAAACGGGTCATAGCACTGATGAGTCCTCAGCAGAATAGTCCCACCGCCTGCCAGAAAGAACACAGAACACAACAATTACAGACAGAAAGGAAATACGTTTACCAAGTCGGTCAATGTGGCCAATCAGCCGATGAGCATAACCCTTGACCCAAATACAACTGGGTCACCTAACACATGCATGCTGTGGCCGCAGTGCTGGAGGTGATCTGCAGAAGGTATTCAAAGAGAACCGGTCACGGAAGCATTTTACAACAGGATGACAAAGTGCCGATGCTTTGACTCATCTCCGCTGTATAACCCGTGAGTGCCGCTATATCTGCTTTGAATTTCGGAAGAAGGTCAGCAATGGTGGGCTCCATGTTCTTTTCACTGCACACCAGGAGGCTCCGGTGCCATGGGCATACCGACAATGGGGCTAGATTTGAACAATGCCATTCCACAAGCCGATCACAGCTGAATAGCGGATAACAGTATCTAACTGGCATGACCTTCTGGTTTGTGGCGGCTCTGCTCTGCATTGGACTCCATGTAATACACGTTTATTTATAGATTTTTATTTACGCAACACTTTACATATTGTACAGTCACATCCGTTCCTGCCCCGAGGAGCTAACAATCTAAGGTCTGTAGCTTTGACTGGAATACCTGGGGGGACCCCGAGTGCTGCAAGGTAGGAGCGCTAACCACTAAGCTGCTGTGCTGTATTTCAAAGATGCAACAACACACGGGTATGATCGGGGGATTAATATGAAGCTGTACCTAATAAAGTGGCCACTGCATGTAAAGTAGGATCTCTCACCTTACAGAGTGTCTCTCATCCCACAGCTCAGGATCAGCCGCTCCTGAAGTCCCTTGATGGTCTGATCCCTATTGTGAGTATCTAGCAGCATTTTCTAGAAAAGTGATAAAAGAAGAAGATATAGAGAAACTTCCATCCAATTAATTACATTCTACAGAATCTTACCGATGTCTCACTACATCTGCAAATCTTTACATTACTGATAGAACTGCGCACAACACCCGCTCAGCTCCCTTCCTCTATTCTCATTTCAGAGCTGCAGTAAAAAATAGTACAATATCAGTAAGAATATTTGGTAGGGATGCACCTATACCAGGTTTTCCGCTATCCAGTACGAGTACCGATATTTCGGTACTCGCCGATACCAAATACTGTTACTGGCTCTGTCCGGCTTCTTGATTGCCAAGGAAGCCGGCTCCATACTGTTTGGCCGGCTTGATGCCGATTGGGCGGGAAGCTGACATCCCAGCCAATCAGCATGCAGCTGGCTTCCCGGACAATCAGGAACCCGGGAAGCAGCATGGAGCCAGCCAAACAGCATGGAGCCGGCTTCCCGGCCAATCAGGAAGCCGGGCCGTGAGTCATCACCCGCAGCTCAGCTTCCTGATTGACCGCGAAGCCAGCTCCATGTTCCCTCGCGGCACTGCCGGTCAGAGGAAATCTCCCTCTGACAGGAAGTTCCAGTATCAGGGGTAAGTATCGGAGTATTTGGGCGAGTACGAGTACTTGCCCAAATACTGAGTATCAGCACTGATGCTAGTATGGGTATCCGTGCATCCCTAGTATTTGGATTGCATTATATCTGTCACTTTGGTGAAAAACGGAGGCTGTCATCCTGCTAAAAGCGCTGATTGCCTGGCTGTCATTCTGATAGTACTTAGAGCCGGTTTTGGGTCAACAACTCAAAATACTGAAGCCAGTGGATCAGCATGACAGATATGCAGCTAGCATTTTCAGAAGTGGCAGATTAATAAACCCCAAACACCATTTTGAAGACTTAAGGGACCACAACTTGAAAAGGTGTGTGTGTGTGTATATATATATATATATATATATATAACATACATACACACACAGTATATTATAATGTTACAAACAAAGTGGGGACTGTGCATCCCTGGAAAACAAAAATGTTTCACTGTACAAAAATGAAGTTTAGACACCATGGTAACGTTAATTTTCCCTTAAAATAACAGATCCAAAACTAGGTCATTGTATCAAAGGGATTTGTTGACGTGCTTTTTCATTTTTTTTAAATGTAAAAATAAGCTAAAAGTAGATGTAGCACCAAATTATTTTGTTTACATTTTGGATATAGTAGGAAAATGTTGCCTCAGGCAGCATCTCTTTGGGTCACGTGAGAAGACCGCAGACAAGGTGACATGGCTACTGCACAATGTTTGCAGTGTGCCTGCCGGCCTCTTTCCAGCCAGAGAGTCCCAGGTTCCTATAAGTCGGGTGGGGAGATGCGTAACGGCCATACAGGTCTCCCCACCCAGCTCTTAGCAACCCAGGATGCTCAGGCCAGCATCCCACTCAGCTACTAGCAACCAATTACATCACTGTGCTGGACAGCAGCCAGAGCTGGGCAGTGAGATCATGCAGAGACCCCCCCCTTCCTGGGTAGTGTGCACCACCAGCACCTCTCCTGCATCAGGCAGTGGAAAGGCAAGGGACCCCCCTGAATACACCCCCAAGTATACAGCAAACAAATAATAAGAGCAGGTTTTGTCCCTCCAGCTGTTGCACATCAGTCCCAGCATGTCCTAAAAGCACACTAATCTTGTACTAAGCCATGCTGGGACTTGTAGTTGTGAAGCAGCCAAAACCCCCCGGGGTGTCTGACTTAAGCCGGCAGGGCTCGGTGGACTTTGTGTCACCTTGGTGGCCTGGTCCCTCTCTCTGGCCGAGTCATGGAGCTGCAGCAGGTCGGCCTGGGCCTGGCACAGGTCGGAGTTGTGTCGCTGTTTCTGGGTTCTCAGCTCGGCTTCCTTTGCCAGCAGAGACTCTTTCAGCATCTTCTTCTCCTGCGCCGCATCCTGCAGGCGGGTTTTACAGTGCCGCAGCTGTTCCTGGTCCGGGAGGAATGAAAACTTTAGTCAAAGTCTTATTACAGGTCAACATAAAGAAGACATTTGTTCCAAAAGGTTACAATGGCTACAAACAGCCAATTATTACTTCTCAATTTCCTTTTCCTTCCAAAGCAAGATTGACCTTAGAAGCGAAGGTGTAGCCTAGTGCCTGACACCCTCGCAACCTCTGTACTGGCACTGCCATCCCGAGAGTGGGCGCCATTAGCCTTTACCTTTGTAATCCAGAAGCCTCTCCTATGTGCACGCCTCCGATATTAGTTTCGCTTTGCTACTAGGTCTGATTTCCCTGATGCCGGTGCTATGGCTTGCCAAAGTCTAGTTCCTAATGAATAGCACACCCAACTGCAGCTTATTCTAATCTGACCTATACAGTTCTCGGTCACACTGGAATGTCATCCTGGCCAGAGAGCGTTGGCCCCTCGCTCATCACACGGAACGCCGCAGCTGGAACAGGCACAATGCGACCGCTGAACCGTGAGAAATTCTCTCAGAACTCAGCCACTTGTAAAAATCCTTCACAGACTCGCAGCTGCACTGCGCCCGCGGCGATCCCGACACCCAGCGACGCACGCCGGCCTCGCACGAACATTCCTACAGTTTAAAGTGACAATATAACCCAGATGGGTCATGGCAAGATGGCACTGAAGGGATCAAAAAGCCCTCCAATGGAATCGCCGTGATGCTGTCCCTGTTGGGACCCCTAAACCCTACTCCATAGGAGTCATGGTTTCCAGGCACTGCACTGATGATGGCCAAGAAGACAGAAGCAGCTGTATGCAGATTGGAATGAATGGCTCTATATATTATAATATGGCTCTAGATCTGGATCCGATCAGGCAGGCCCTCGCACTACACAGATGTTGGTAGATCTAAAGGAGATTGCACAATCAGATTGTAAAATGCGCGGTGGGTGAGCCGAATAGGGACAAAGGCGCAATAAAAGCCAGACAGAGGTTCCAGCCCCCTCACCGCTCTATCCAAATCTACAAAAATGTTTTGCCCTTTGTGATCCTTTAAGTTGAAACAACAGACAGATGAGCTCAATCCTGATCTTAGAATGTTCCTCATCAGAGCTGTGATGAAAACTACAAATCCCATGAGGTCTCTGCCTCTGGGAGTCATGCCTGCAACTGTCAGCATCTTGCAATCCTCATGGGACCTGTAGTTCCACAACAGCCGGAAGCTGCCTCTGCCTTACAATGTGTTCCATCACAGTACTGACCTGGAGCAGCGTCTGGCACTCGTTCAGAGCGTTCAGTAGATCCTGGATGTCTCGCTGGTGCTGGACGCTCTGCTTCTGGCTGTCGGCGTGGGCCTGGGACAGGAGGCAACCCTTCTCTTGTAGCTGGGCTAGCAGAGGGTTAGGGGCAGACAGACCGGGGAGAGAGCCGCTGAAGTCATCCAGTCCTTGAGACAGCAGGGAGTCCGCCAGGGCCTGCGATGGAGACAAGAGACAAAATGGACGCCATGCCAGGAAACCTGGAGCGATGGAGTGAGGAAGCCGCCATTGCATCTGAAAATACTAGTTACCTGGCTGTCACGCTGATCCAATGACAGGGACACTTTCTATATCATGGACAAGTGTGCAGATGAGAAGTTCTGATTTCACTTCCAACTTTCCTAAAACCAGGTCAGTGCCTCAAAGTTTCGTCAGCAATAGCAGCGTTATAATTCAGTTTAAAGCAGGGGTGGGCAACCCCGGCACTCCAGCTGCGGTGAAACTACAAATCCCATTAGGTATTGCAAGACTGACAGCCACAGGCAGGACTTCCAGCTGCAGAGGCATGAATGGGATTTGTAGTTCCACCACAGCTGTACAGCCGGGGTTCTGCTTTAAACCAAGATCTGTATAGTTCTCATAGCAATCAGATTCTCCTTTATACTGGTATCAGGGATTGAAAGGGAAAAACTGACTTGCTACTATCATCGACTTGCTACAATCACAGGAGCTTACAATCTAATGTCCCCAATGCACTCAAACACACAACCCAGGTCCAAGTCAAATAGAACTAATGCATCTACCTGTATATTTTTGTTGGGGGGGGGGGGGGGGGGGAGAAGCAAAACACCCAAAGAAGAACAGTGCTGACTGACATACACATTCCATCTAGTTAATGCCTCCACTGGGAGTTGAACTCAGGACCTCAGAGCTGTAAGTTGCCCACATGTTGTCATTGATCTGCTCACCTCCACATCTTGATTGCTGCTGCTCAGTGCTCCTTGTACTGCTGTGATCAGGGAGTCCTTCTCCCGCAGAGCGGCCAGGCGCAGGGCGTCCTGAGATGCAGCTGATCGTATGGCAGAGTCCAGGGCCACCTCCAGATGCTGGATGGTGAAGTCCTTTTCCCCCAGGACGTCACGCAGATCCTTGTGGAAGGAGAACAATCATTACTGTAGGCACAGGATGGATGGATTACGCAGGATTTTACTGATTACACTAAACACTGCACTCACCGTGATGGTGTCCTGATTCTCCCGGAGCACCTTTGTCAGCCGCGTTATGTCCTCCTCCCTCGCTCTCATCTCTTCCTGTAAACGTGCGACTTCTGCGTCTCTTTGGCGCTTGCTCTCAGCTAGCTCCTCCCCTTCTTTCTGCAGAGATCGGTGACAACGTCAGGGCAAGAAAATTCAAGATTCACGCCATCAACAGCTTAATATCAGATTGTGCCACATTACTAAATATAAAACGAAAGTCCATGTCTTTGCCTGAGGAAGGGGATCCTGCGAGACCCCGAAATGTTGCATCCGTGTGACATGCTGCACACAGGTCAATAAATAGACGTATTTGAATTGCATTTGGAGTGCCGGTGTCACGGTTTCTACATTACTAAATATGACATATAAAACACCATAGACATATAGGACTTTTATGCGGCACCCTGTTTAAGTACCCAGCTCAGTTTTATGGTTTATAGGCTGGAAAATTGAATGAATATATTTAGCACCTCCGGGCCGCAGCTGTCAGAGTGCCTCCCTCTATGCAAGATGCAGTGACAGCATGCACTGGGCGGTTTGTTTGTTAACAAACCCATGTGACCACCATGTCATAGCTATGTAGGTGATCACATGCCGATTGGTTCCCGATTGCTAAAGGAGACCCGGAGCTGTCACATGACAGCAGGATCTAAAAACTATTATTATTATTATTACATAGTATTTATATAGCGCCAACAGTTTGCGCAGCGCTTTACAATATAAGGAAGACATTACAATACAATTCAAGACAAGATGGTTAGGAGGGCCATGCTTGCCCCTGGAGGCTTACAATCTAAAAGGGGAAGTGATACATGAGGAGGTAGCTGTGTGGGGATGAATTGTTTGAAAATGTGATGGTTCAGTGTTTAGTTTGAGGTGGGATAGGCTTCTCTAAAGAGATGAGTCTTAAGAGAACGCCTAAAGACAGTCAAGGTGGGAGATAGATGGACAGGTTGGGGTAAAGAGTTCCAGAGGATGGGAGAGACTCTAGAGAAGTCCCAGGCGCGAGCATGGGAGGAGTTGACGAGGGAGCGGGAAAGCAGGAGGTCTTGGGAGGAGCGGAGGGGACGGTTAGGGTGATATTTTGAGACAAGGTTTGAGATATATACGGGGGGAAGAGGTTGGATGGCTTTATAAAAACTATGACTGTGCACAGGTGTACATTCCTAGTTCTCTCCTGGAAAATGAAAGAGGAACTCCAGCTTTTAAAAAAAATAATCCATGCAATGGAGCTACCCCCGCAATGTAAGGGTTAACTGCTCGTTTTGGTATGGGGCCAAAATATAGAAGCTATGCTCCCCTGGCCCTGCTCCAGTCAATGCTCACATCTCTCCCCCACTATGGCTATGGCAATAGAATGTCCCTTGGCATCCTCACGTCAATTGCAAGTGAATGGACTTGCATTAGACGTGATGGCGTCACCGGGGCTTAGACCGCCGGAGCCAAGGGGAGAAGAAAATACCGGGGCCAGCATAGCAGCCAGGCAGGATCAAGGATCAGGCGAGTAGATCTACTTTAATCCAGCCCCGAATGAGCAGTTAACCATTGCAGTGCAGGGTAGCCCCACTCCAAGGGTTAGTTGTGTTCATTTCTGAAGTTCCTCTTTAACATTTTCGCCCTGAAAGGCTTGAGAACATGAACAGCCGGACTGCAGATGCCATTTGGACAAGCTGATAAATTGATCTTGGAAAATTGTGTTCCACCCAGAACAAGCAAGCCTAACTTTCCAGAAGGCAAACATTAATCCAGGGGCAGGCAACCTGCGCACTCCAGCTGTGGTAGAACTACAAGTACCATGAGGCATTGCAAGACAGACCGCCACAGGGATCATGCATGACTCACAGAGCAAGATGGGATTTGTAGTTTTATCACAGCTGGAGTGCCAAGGTCGTCTACCCTTGCATTAGGGTAACATAGCAAATGAGCAGCTATAAACAAGGGGTTAAAGATCACACTGACAATTACATTTGAGCTCTGCAGCAGGCAGAACGAGCCAATAAAGCACATCGGTTCTACACTGAAGGTAATAATTAAGTAGCATGGTTAGTAAAAGAGACATAGCTTGCATGGAAGGGCATAGTGCATCACGTGCCTAGGGTGCAATTATCTCTATATATGACCCTGATCTGTACATATGGCCCCATCAGCAATCAGCAGAAATATGGAATCTGCCACAGCCGACCTATTCTTAAAAGGAACAAGCTCTCAAGTCGTCATCCTTATCAGCTCTTCAGTACCTAGTAAGTTGGTGGCTTGGAACAAGCTTGGAGCCAATGTCGGACCGGGAACGTGCTCGTTCCAGGTCAGTGATTCAGCCCTGCAGCTGAAACCTTTAAAGAATCAGTCAGCAATGGCAGCACCCACAGTCTGAGTCATTGCGATGGATAACCAGTGATGACCAGAGATGCCCACAGTGACCAGAATACAGGGATCACAGCATACAAAATGATTGCTGTATGTACACTATATTGTCAAAAGTATTGGGACACCCCTCCAAATCATTGGATTCAGGTGTTCTGTGAAATTTCCTTGCTACTAAATATTCAGCGGTCACCTGTTAGTGGAAGCAACTGGGAACAACAGCAACTCAGCCACGAAGTGGCAGGCCACGTAAAATGACAGAGCGGGGTCAGCGCATGCTGAAGCGCACAGTGTACAGAAGTTGCCAACTGTCTACAAAGTTAATAGCTACAAACTTCGTGTGACCTTCATATTGGCACAACAACAGTGCGTAGAGAGCTTCATGGAATGGGTTTCCATGGCCGAGCAGCTGCATCCAAGCCTTACATCACCAAGTGCAATGCAAAGCGTCGGATGCCGTGGTGTAAAGCACGCCGCCACTGGACTCTAGAGAAGCGGAGACGTGTTCTCTGGAGTGACCAATCACGCTTCTCTGTCTGGCAATCCGATGGACGTGTCTGGGTTTGGCGGTTGTCAGGAGAACGGTACTTGCCTGACTGCATTGCGCCAAGTGTAAAGTTTGGTGGAGGGGGGATTATGGGGTGGGGTTGTTTCTCAGGGGTTGGGCTTGGCCCCTTAGTTCCAGTGAAGGGAACTCTTAGGGCTTCAGCACACCAAGACATTTTGGACAATTTCATGCTCCCAACTTTGTGGGAGGAGTTGGGGGTGGCCCCTCCCTGTTCCAACATGATTGCGCACCAGTGCACAAAGCAAGGTCCATAAAGACATGGATGGGGGAGTTTGGGGTGGAGGAACGTGACTGGCCTGCACAGAGTCCTGACCTCACCCCGATAGAACACTTTTGAAATGAATTAGAGCGGAGACTGCGAGCCCGGCCTTCTCCCCCAACATCAGTACCTGACCTCACAAATGGTCCAACATTCCCATAGACACACTCCTAAACCTTGTGGACGCCTTCCCAGAAGAGTTGAAGCTGTTATAGCGGCAAAGGGCGGAGCCAACCCAATACTGAACCCTACGGACTAAGACTGGGATGCCATTAAAGTTAATGTTTGTGTAAAGGCCGGCGTCCCAACACTTTTGGCAATATAGTGTATAAGTGATTGCACCCACCCTCCGGTCATTAGTTATGTGTATAGGACTCCGGCCAGATGTCAAATTGTAATTATTTAATAATATAGTGCTCGGATTTAGGTAGATTGGTTTAAGTAGGTTTCAGTTTGAAATGTGACCAAAGAAATCCATGATGCTTCTGATGGAGCACGTGGGGCATCCTGGTACATTGATGCCACATGTTCTTGGTGACTTATTGGGGGTTTATTAATAATGCAAAAATAACTGACCCTATGTACAGATGACAGGTGCACTTTAAAGATGAACCTATACTACTGTATTCCTTTAAATTACATACAGCCAGCATAAGTACCCTAATCTGTCTTGGTATCACCTTCCCTTCATCCTTGCTGGTACAGGGAGGGGCAGCACTAGGAGCTAGGCATGAGCTCCAGTTCAGACCAAACCCGGTCGGAACTCCTTCCGCTGCCACCCTATCAGCTGTGGTCAGGGAATTCCCCGCCTGCAGCTGCACATAAGCAAATGGGCGGGATGCGGGAATGCCTTATGTGGCTACATGGCCATATAAGGTAAATGATGTCAGCATAAGAATTCTACCCCTTTGTTTATGGTCAGCTGCAGGGCAGGGAATGAACCGGGCCGAAGCCAATTGGGCAGGGTGCCCATGGAACTTCCTTGTTTGGAGGAGCTTAGGTTTGGTCTGAACCCGACCTCATTCCCACTAGAAGCCAATCAGACTTTGCTGCATGAACATGTGCTGGCTGGAGGAGAGAGCAGAGTTGATGCTCCTTCATTATCCAATCAGCAGGCTGGGGGGGGGGGGGGAGCAGTTGACTGAACTGTATTCCTTGCTGTTATCAGAGAATGTGGTGTCACCCTCCTGGTTGTGCAGTCTTGTGCAGCTTATATACTGTATGTGTATTTAAACTGGCCGTTTGCCTGGAGTTCAAGAGACCAACTCAAAAAAAATTGCAGAAAAATCAGGTCTGTTACATGCTTATGCGTTTTAACTTTCAATAAATGTATTTTTATCACTTGAAATGTATCTGTGAGCTTATTAGAAATGTTACCTAGTCAATTCCCCAGCACAGCCCCCTCCCTCTTTGCACATCATATGCCTCTCCTGGGAGAGTAATTACAGTCTGTGCAGGCCCAGCTACACACCCCTCCCCTTAACTCCCAACATAACCTTTTATATAGCAGGTGGAGGAGGAGCGATGTGAAATGCTATGGAGCACAAAAGCAAACTATATCACGAATGCAGTCACATGATGTCACCATGATGCCACTGAGGGTCACCTTTATCTGCTCCTCCCTCGCTTTCAACTTCTCCACGAAATCTGTGATGAGATCCCCGTCTGAATCCGAGGCCAGCGGCAGTGTCAACATCAAGGTCAGACAGTCCTGAAAGCGAAGACATTACTGAGATTATTAAATGTTATTTCCTTAAGACACTTCCCAAAGCCCCTTAGGCCACCATGTGTACCCACCTCCAGGAGTTCTTCCTTAAATTTCAGAGTCCTGATGAGCTCCCGTACCAGTTCCTGCTGTTCTGAGGCGTAGTCCTAAAAGGCCAACAAATATGACATAACTTAATAAAACTGAAAATGAAGTGAATGATAGAAAAGGCTAAAGAAAGAAAGGTTGGTATGGATGAAAATGGCATCCCAAGAGCGTGTACCCTTAAAATCAAGCCCACAAAAGGCACCATTTCAATCTCTCAAGTCCCCCCTTTCCCTTATAAGCACCCCTGAACCCATAAAATAATCTTCATACTTGCCTCCAATGAAGTCACAGGTCCTCTTCACCCTCTTCTTGCTCCGGCGGTGGGCATATACTAAATGCAATAGGGGGGGGGGTGACACCAGGTAATGACGTGGCACTGCTCTCTGTATCACACCCTATGAATCTAGGACAGGGGACGGGCCCTTGACACCCTGGGCTTACTTTAAAATAGATGAAGTGACTTTTCTAAGAGCTGATGCGGTATCCATATTTGTTTTAGTTTCCGTCTGGAACTGGGCCACCACAGTTTGACATCTCTCCCAGGTCATGCACGTTGACCTTTGTATAAGAACTCCAGCTCTTCCAGGTCATGCACATGGGCCTTTGTATAAGAACTCCTGCTCTTCCAGGTCATACACATGGGCCTTTGTATAAGAACTCCTGCTTTTCCAGGTCATACACATGGGCCTTTGTATAAGAACCGCAGCTCTTCCAGGTCATACACATGGGCCTTTGTATAAGAAGTCTTGAAAGACTTGTAAAATAAAGAAGTGTTCTGCCTGATCACAGGCTGCCACATATGCACCGCTTTGCCCAGAACCACGATGTCCCCATATCAAAAGGTTCTTTACTGCTGTCTGGTCTGTCTTTTGAAGGTGGGGCAATGTTATGGTGGACCGCTGTTGGTCCCATTGCCTCACGCAGCACCATAATGGCCATCCACTCAGAAGTTATATTTTATTTATAGGTAGGGTACGGTGGGCTGAGTCACTCCCTGACTTCTTATAGGTCTTACATACTCCATCAATGACACCTCACCGCCATAATTCTGGATTCTGCCCACCTGGGAGATATGTGTGTTTCCGGCCACCTTTGCGTGTTCCAGCTCCCCCTGTTACATTCTCCATAATATAAAATAAAGTGTCCAGCAGGGATGGCGGGAGCTCCTCATAATGGGCCTAGTAGGTGTGCTGACCCCGGAGCTTAGCACAGAGATCTCACTAACAGAGTACCGCAGAGATAAAAGACTGAACCTACAAATCACAGGCTGGGCTGACTATGTCTACTCAGATAGCCCAAGACGAGCTCTGTTATCTTCCATGCTACTATGTCATAGCAGACAACGGTCATATGTAAAATGACTGATCAGTTTGACATTTTCTGGTAAGGGATTACTCAGCTCTATTATATAAAATGTCTACAATCCTGTGGTAATGGGCGGCACACCAACCTGTAAACCTAACAGCCGGTGACACTACCAATTAAATGTGAGGAGCAAAATGTGATGTAGTAATAAACCTACTGTAATTGTAGGTGCTGCACTTGGTTCTTTGTAGGAGGTGACGTTGCTTCATAATGGGATGAAACAGGAGTTGCAAGATTTTGGTGAGCTCCGGCCTTCTTTGACATCATAAGGATTTCCTTTCATCATCCAACCTCTGAAACCTGCTCATGCGTTTGGCTTTCCATGGGCCCTGTGCTTCTGGGTGGTGGAGATTATCCCATAGCTAAGGGCAGGGCTGTACTCATAATGAGGCGGCCGCAGGCAGTTGCTTCAGGCGGCATCTCCTTGGGTTACGTGGGGAAACTGGGGGCGGCCATGGTGTTTAGGCCAGAGCGTCCCAGGTTGCTAAGACCTCTTAGCAGCATGTGACACTCTGGCTGGTGTCAGCTCGGCGGGACACCGGACAGAGGTACCATTATGCGTGCCCCCCCGGACCTGCACCGCCAGCACCCGCACTGCCAGCTCCCACACCACCCCCAACGCCCCCTTCCCAGCCGGGCCTACGCCACCAGCACATTTACAACGCCAAACTCCCTCTGGACCTACACCGACTCAGGCGTTGAGAATTGTGGAGACAACCCTGGTCAGGGGGGTCACAATGACAGCCAGGTGGTTGGCATTTGCAGAATGTGTAATCAGCCATGGCAGGCTCTCAGGAAAGAACCCCTTTATAGATCAACTTTGGGCAAACTGCTATATACACAGATGAAATACATAAAGGAGGACTGTTTTTACCTGCCAAAGGATTAGTAGCAGCAGCATTTCCCTATACACATACTACACAGCAATAAAGTATTAAAATGAACTAGGGTCAGACAAATCCAGCACGTTATTCATCTGAGTTGCCACACTCAATATGGCCACAAGCGGCGGCCATATTGAGTGGGGCAACTCACATTAATAACGTGCTGGATTAGTCTGACCCTAGTTTATTGCTGTGTAGTATGTGTATAGGGAAATGCCGCACGTGCAGTACAACCTTCTCGGCCAAACCTCTTACTACTAACTAAACTGGAAGTCAGGTCGTTGGAGATCTCGGCGAGTTGGAACTTTCGTTAGAACACCGGCACAAGGAAACAGCCGCACAGTCATCGGATTCTGCTCTCAGTATAGACCAGGGGTAGGCAACTTTGACCTTCCAGCTGTCTTAACTACAAATCCCAAAATGCCATTGCGTCTGGGAGTCATGCCTGTAATGGTCAGTCTTGCAATGCCTCATGGGACTTGTAGTTCCACAAGAGCTGGAGGGCCAATTTGCCCACCCCTGATATATAAAGTGTTTTTCTGGCTATGTCCACTAAATTGTCAAATTATACACACACACACACACACACACACAATTCTTGCATCATTCCATAAAGAAGCGTGGACACCAGGAATGCACATGATATTATTAGTTGTCATGTGATCTATAAACACATCCGTGTCCCAAGCGGAACGCCCATCCACTAATATAGAACACATCTTTCAGGTATGTCACCTTCTATTACATCACACCTGTACGGGTGAGGAGTCACGGTGTGTGACCATTGCTGGACTACGGCAGTAAAAGGAAGGTCACCGTGTTAATGATGAGACAATCGTTATATAGAGTCAAATATTCAGAAAACGCAGACCAGCGTGCAGCACATAATATGTGACACAGATGGAGGTCACGAAACAAGACTTCACCGAGCCTCCTCCCTGGTCACTCCATACACCTCCTCCCATGGACATTTGCCTTTTAATAGCCAATGTAACATACAGGGCAATTTTTATCTACGATTACAATGCAGTGCTGGTGACTCTTTTACAGCTGACCATACACATTGTTATCTAATGTATAATCTCCTTTAGCTCCACATCTAGGAAAGAGTAGGAAGAACATAGAACGTAACCTGATTGGATTGTTTAGGCGGATCATTATTTATTTATTACAGGTATTTATATGGTGCTGCCAATTTACGCAGCGCTGTACAAACTGCACATTCACATCAGTCCCTGCCCTCAAGGAACTTATCATCTTTGATCCCGGTCTCACATTCATCGTACACACACTAGGGCCAATTAACCGACCAGCATGTCGAGGAAACCCAACAAGCTCAAGGAGAACATGCAAACTCCATGCAAATAGTGCCCTGGCCGGGATTTGAACCATGGCCCCCATTGCTGCAAGGTAGAAGTGCTAACTACTAAGCCACTGTGCTTCCCAGACCATCACACTGTGCAGTTTAATAAAGAGCAGAGACTGTACAGAGATTATACAATCAAGTCATAAGATGTCTGGCCAAGTTGAGGCTTGCTGCTGTTCAAGTGCTGAGCCATAAATGCCCATCAGACACAAATGCAGAATTCTGAAGTGAGCCGCCAATGGTTGTGTCAGGAATGGGTAACATTGCAGCAGATGAGAAGCACAGGGTTGTCTATGCCCTCAAGGTACTCAAGAAGAACCACGGATAGATCCCTTCTGCCACCACTGTACTCCCTATAATGAGGCATCATGGGACGATTGCCTCAAGCGGCATCTCATTGGGTCACGGGGAGAGAGGGGTGTGGTGGGTGGCTTGTAGAGCCAAGTGGGACATTCTGGCTGGTGTCCCGCAGAGCTCCAGTCAACCAGTGAGCCGGACAGAGCCTTACCCCATGACATTCCCCTACCCATCTTCCCCCCGTTAACATGCACCACCACCACAGCAGCCCCTCAACCCCGCAAAGTTCATCACCATCAACAGATCACAAATCAAAAAAGGAAAACCAGATTTTTTTGCAAAAATCAATAGCAATATCACTATAGTAGACTATTTGGAGTAACATGGCATTACCTGGTGACTTGAAAGTGTTCCACCATTTTGAGCAGCCTTTAGCTGGGTCTGTAGCCAATTTAACATGCCCTGGATACGATGGAAACGGGAGACTTGAGTTCTACACACCTGAAAGAAAGATTCCGGAGTCAGTCCACCCAAAGCTCACATTTCCATTACAGAGCTGTATCACCCACTGGTCATGTGTCTTTTTAGCAGTACGTTGTAGGCCTACACTGCTCCAAAAGCTTTTTATGGGCAAGGTTTTGGCCTACATTACTCCTTGAGATCTTTACTGACAAGATTTTGGCCTACACTACTCCATGGGATTGTTATGGGCACGTTTTTGGCCTACAGTACATGGCTCCAAGAGATTTTGATGGGCAAGTTTTAGACCTACGCTGCTCTGTCAGCTTTTTACTAGCAAGTTTTAGGCCTACACAGCTCCATAAGCCTCTCTTTTACAGGAGTTTGGTCTACACCTCAATGTGAGGTTTGCAATGTGGACACCAGTAGCCATCGTGCAGCATAAAGCCCTCCCACATCCACATGTGTTGCTGATATCAAATCTTTACGGGGCCATGAGAACTGTCCTCATGCAGTCTATGTCAACAAAAGTTGACTTCACTCAGAAAAGGCAAAGTATGGACAAATAGGCGGTATGGACTGTCATGTCCTATTTTGTACAGACATCCTGGAAAGTTCAGTTGGAGGTCCCGATAATTATCTGGCAACACGTCACGTTTTAGGAAAAATAAAAGACAATCACATGATGTAAGTAAAATAACAGAAACTCCAATGACACAGTTTCCAGGGACGAAGCTCATCCACAGCACATCCATCAAGCATGCCTCTATGTGCTGAGTTTTATTATTTGCTAAAGCCATTCTTAAGGATTAAGCAAATCCCAGAAGTGTTGTTTAACACACACCCGTAATCTTCTCATGGCACACGGAGGATCCTCGGAGAGCAGAGCCAGCAGTGCATAAACCAGGCGGCCCCCCCATCAGCTCAGATAATATCTCAGGGTCTTACAGAGCACCGGGGGGGACGGGGGGGCATCAGTGATGGAGCACAAAACATAAAAGAGAAAATCAGACTGCACTATGCCAGACTAGTAATGTAGAACAACCAACATAAAATGGATGTAACATTATTATATTGTATTATTTACAGGGTACAACCACGGGACAAAAAAATAATGAATACAGATGGAGATGAGCAGCTGCTGCCAATAGGAACCTTCTCTCCTATTCCTAGAAAGGAAACTAAAAAATGGCTGCTATGGACAATGATACAATTATGGCTTTTTTGTTTTTAAGTTCTGCCCCTCAGATAAGGAGTTCAGTGACCCGTGCGCTCATTCACAAACCTCCCCCCCCCCCACCCATCGTTGATAC